ATCGTGCCGGTTGGCGTCCGGGCGAGAGGACCCGATGGCGATCCCTGGGGGGGTTCGGGCGTCCCCGCAGTCTCCAGATCAATCCTCCTTTGGCGCGGCTGCACTGGTTGTGTTATGGATTTCATTGCATCACCTTGCCCAACTGCCTTCTTCCACCATCCCTATTCACTCAAATTTATTAAAATCATGAAAGGTAAAAAGAGAAGCAAGCGTCGACAGCGGATGCACGTCCTCTCGTTTAAAGTGCATCTCTCAAATATCCGAGGACTGCACTCCAATCTCGTAGCGGTCCACCACCATCTGAAGACTGTTAAGGCACACCTGCTTTTCTTGACGGAGACGCAGATTAGATGTCCGTCAGATACGGCGTACCTCAACTACCCGGGATACTCACTGGAGCATCATTTCCTGCAGCGTGCTGGGGTCTGTGTGTACGTCCGTAATGACATCTGCTGCCAGCGTCTCCGTCACCTTGAAGACACTAGTCTGTCTACATTATGGCTATTGGTGGACACTGGTATGGAAAAAATTGTCTACGCCTGTGTCTACCGTTCGCACAGCGGTGATTAGGAGACGACTCGACTTTTTGACCACCTCAGTCGGGCCGCCGATGAGGCTCTGCTTTGGCACCCCAATGCGCAGTTCGTCGCTCTGGGGGACTTTAATGCTTGCCACCAAGACTGGCTTTTCCCATACCAGAGGACCGACCATACTGGGAGAGAGGCGTGGAACTTTGCGGTTTCGATGGGCCTGTCCCAGCTGGTTCGGCAAGCGACTAGGGTGCCTGATGTGGCTGGTCATACTGCCAATTGCCTGGACCTTCTGTTGACTACTGATCCAGACAGATGTATCGTAACAGTTTCTTCTTTTTCGTCCTTCTCTCCGCCTGACTGCGACTCACGCGGTGGGCGGCGGATGTGGCGTTACAAGTCAGCAGATTGGGATGAGATGCGGCACTTCTTCGCATCTTATTCTTGGCAGCGGGTCTGCTTCTCTTCTGAAGATCCGTCGAGCTGTGCGGATGCTGTACCCGATGTGATACGTCAAGCTATGGGGTATTTCATCCCATATACTGACGTACCCGCCGGGGGCTTAGCTCACCCATGGTTCAATGCCGAATGCGCTCAAGCTGAAAAGCGTAAACATTCAGCTTTTCTCGCCTGGGTTAACGCTCGTCACCGTAAAGCTCCGGATCTGAGCTCAAAGAAGAGAGCCTTTAACCATGCTGCCAAGTCCTACAAAAAGGCACTGAGAAGGGCTCGCTTCAACCACATTACCTATATTGGCACAAAACTCTCTGCACAACCGTCCGGTAGCAGAGCATTCTGGTCCTTTGCCAAGTCGGTCGAAGCGAACTTCTGTCGGCCCACACTGCCTCCACTGGTTAGGCCTGATGGTACACTGGCTCATACCGCGAGAGAGAAAGCAGGTCTCTTTGCATCACTCCTCGCCCATAATTCTCGCCTTGACACTTGCGGTGCTACTCCACCGACTCTGCCTATCTGCGACACCTCGATGCCCGAGGTTCGCTTAAGGAACAAAGAAGTTCTGAGAGCACTGTGTCGTCTAGACGTGAATAAAGCTAGTGGGCCGGATGGTATACCAGCGATAGTTCTCAAGGCTTGTGCACCCGAGTTGTCTCCTGTATTGACGCGCCTGTATCGCCTCTCATTTAGGACTGGTATTGTGCCAAAGTCCTGGAAGCTCGCCAACGTGCAACACGTGCCCAAAAAGGGCAATCGTGCCGATCCTGCCAACTATCGGCCGATTTCGATAACCTCCATACTCTGCAAGATTATGGAGCGCGTGTTGAATTCGCGCCTCATGGCATATCTAGAAGGTAACGATCTCGACAGTATGGATTTCGCCGCAATCGGTCTACCGGGGACCTACTAGTTTATGCCACTCACTTGTGGGGCGAGGCCCTCTAGAGGAATGGGGAAGCTATTGCTGTTTCCTTAGACGTCTCGAAGGCCTTCGATAGGGTATGGTACGATGGCCTTTTGTCTAAGCTTCCAGCGTACGGCATTTCTCCTGGTCTGATAAGCTGGGTAAAGGACTTCCTGAGTGAACGGTCACTCCGAGTTGTTTGCTCATCAGAGCCTATGTCGACTAATGCCGGTGTTCCTCAGGGGTCTGTTCTCTCTGGAACTCTATTCCTGCTCCACATTACCGATCTGCTAGTGCCTGGTATCTTTGGGTATGCAGATGATAGCACAGTTGTAGAGAGATACCTGCCCAGTGCTCGGGCTAGTAAGGAGCTAATCCAGTCTGAAAGGGAGCCTATGGTAGAGCGTACGAATGTCTCACTTCAGACAGTTTCCAAGTGGGGCAGAGCTAATCTGGTAGCATTCAACGCCACTAAAACACAGGCGTGTCTATTCACCGCCAAAAGGAGCCCCTTCACCTTGGCTCCTGTTTTTCGGGATGTATCCTTGGAATGCACCGACCGCCTTCAGCTCTTGGGAATGGACATTGCTTCAGACCTCAACTTTGGGCGGTTCATTGAGTCCAGGGCCGCGGTAGCTGCTAGAAAACTTGGCGTTCTTGCAGAAGCCCGACGGTACTTCACACCGAGCCATCTTCTAATGTTATACAAAGCACAGGTCCGATCGTGTGTGGAGTACTGCAGCCACATATAGGCTGGTGCTGCAAAATGCCACCTAGCGGCTTTGAATTCGGTGGAAAGGCGTGCAATGAGGCTGATTGGTGATCCGGATTTGGTTGGCTCAAATCTTCAGAGTCTCGAGCACAGGCGCAGAGTAGCAAGCCTTGCGGTGTTTTACAGGATGCATTTTGGAGAGTGTGCGCAGGAATTGCACGATTTGATTCCGCCATCCCCATTTCACCTTCGGACATCCCGGCGTACGGCAAGTATCCACCCTTACGTTGTTGAGACACCTGCGGTCCGGACTAAGCGCTTTGCCTCGTCATTTATACCGCGTACATCGAGGGATTGGAACAGTTTGCCGGCTCCAGTCTTTCCGTCCAAATATAATTTAGGTGTCTTCAAGGCTAGAGAGAATAGGCTCTTAATAAACTAGTGCGCCTTACCATCAACGATTGCATCACTGCTTACCATCAGGTAGGATCGCAGTCAAGCACTAGTTTATAGAAAGAAAAAAAAAATTCCTGGGACAAGTGATCCAGCTAGGTAGGTCCAATTTCGAGAAGGAGGTCAATCGTCGAATCCAACTTGGATCGGCAGCGTTCGGGAAACTACGCAACATCTTCTCGTCAAACATACCTCAGTGCCTTAAGACGAGAGTCTATAATCAATGTGTGTTACCGACGGCCGCTAGGGCAGAAAGGTTCTCGAATGGAGGCCACGTACCGGCAAGCGCAGCGTAGGACGTCCACCCGCAAGGTGGACAGACGACCTGATTAAGGTCGCAGGAAGCCGCTGGATGCAGGTCGCTTCCAACCGGCCTATCTGGAAGTCAATGGGGGAGGCCTATGTTCAGCAGTGGACGTCCTGTGGCTGATATGAAGTGTTCACTGCTGAGCATAGGCCTCTTCTCACACGGAGAAGGTTTGAGCATTAATCACCACGCTTGCTAAATGCGGGTTGGCGATTTCAAACTTATAATTAGAAATTATAAGTCCAGATTTCCTCACGATGTTTACCTTCACTGTATGTGTTGGTGTTTAAGTAATCATAGAAAGTACATATAACTCGGAAAAAGTCAAATTGGTATTTGCCAGGTTTCGAACCTACACCCCCATGCATGAGAAGCGGGCTCCTTAACCTCCGGGCCACCACGACCGCATTATTTATGGTACAAACGTAATATTAATACAATAAACAGTTATTTCCAAAAGTTTTTATTTGTTTCACACAAATACGACTTCACATTAATTAGAGAAAAAACAGCTTTACAAAAACGAGGCGTTTTAAGCGACCCGAACGACCAGTCAAAAAAAGAAGGTTAAGTTTGTACTTCAATTTCGAGAAAACGTTAAGTCAAGTGGTCTAGGTTGTAGACTTATAATTTAGTACTTATGGTAAACATGAATAATTATCGGATGCCCAGCAATGATTTTAACTTATTAATTCTTTCATTTCGTCTTTTCAGCTTTTGAGACAAGGTTTTAACTTAAATTTCGAGACGAATTTGCTTTTTTCTCGGCGTACTCGCTGTGGTTGTTGTTTGTGTGGACGTACTTTGTTTCGATTTCATCTTTGTACGGTGGTTTTGATGAGGGTTCTAGGGTCTCTACGCAATGGTCGACTGATCGTAATAGAATTCAGTACTTGCACTTTTTTATACGCAGGTATTATCTGAAAACAAAAACGAAGCAATGACTGCTTACGGTGTTTTTTAAATACAAACATCACAGTAGCAGTAGTTTTAGAGTCGTTAACTCAATAGGTAGGTGTGTTAGGCTAAGTACCTACATTATATGAAATTTTATACAATTTCAGATTTTTTGGCTATGTACACAAATACTAGATACTTACCACAGGAAAAGTGGATGATATAATATTCGCTTTTAACATCTTGCAGCAGAATGAGTTCCGAAATCTTCAGCTTTAAAATATGCAAACCGAAGACTGCTGAATATTGAGTAATATTTCCCGGTACAACGTAATGTCTAAGCTTAGACAATGCACTGAGTTCAATGTTGCCTTGAATGAAATACTGGCTGATTTTAACTGATCTGAAAGAATAATCATAATAGACAGCTGAAATTTAATACCTATATGTCATTCTTGAAAATGCAAACAAAACGAAAGAGCGTGATGCTCAACGCTCAATTTTATTAATATCTACAGAAAAGAAAAGGACTGTTTCTAGGACCAGATAGCAAAGAGCAAAGTAATCAAAAATGTCTGGCACACCGTCAGAACTAGCTACAAGCGAAATGCCTGTCTCCGAGCCCGGGGTTGAAGATGGAGAGGGTAAATTGTGAATTAATTTCCAAAACAATGATAGACGTAGCTACCTCAACAACAGTTATCATACAAGTAACGAAATAAATGCTTACATTTCCCATCTTACCTAATTACCAAGTAAGGAAGTTGAAAAGAAAATCATGGTAATAATTCAATTTAATTTTGTATTCGTTTACACAGCGACTCCTGTTGCGAAACTGCCATCGTTCCCTCCTTACCCGCCTTACTCCACGGAGGTAGCACCACCGTCAGTGGCAGAGACAATCATCGCAGGCCATGGTCTAAGGCTGCAACACAAATCCGTTCCACGCAAGCCTTTAAAACCTCCTCCAAAGCCGGCTAAACCCAGGTAACAGAATATATGCACCTAGGCTAGGCTAGGCATTTAGATTAACAAACAACTCGTCCTTTAATCTTACAGTGACAGGCAAGGTAAACAATATACATTTCACGATGAAATACCATTATTTACTAGTTTCGAAAGAGTACAGGGCCGGTCCTACGGGCGTAGCGAGCAGTGCGACCGCTCCGGGCGCCAAAACGAACTGAAACGTGAAAGAAATGATGACCGACCGTTTTTTTTATTTAAAGAGTACTATTTAATTTCTCGTACCTATAAGGGCCAGACCAGGCATGTAATAAATAATAAAGAATAATAATAAAAGAGTAAGTTTTCAGTGAATATGAATGTGTTATTATTAAGCTCTAAGCGTGAAGATAACTATAAGATAATAAAAGGGCAAACACCTATAAATTCGAGGTCTTGTATTTTTTTTTCAGATGATTGTATAATGTGTTTAAAATATGTTCTACCACAGAGGTCCCAAAGCAACTGATGTGAAGATGGCGAAAAGTGCAATCCGAGCACACGCCCGCTGTTTGCGCAAGCATGGCGCTATACTGACGGACCGTCTCGAACACATATCGAAGCCCACACGACGCACCATTATAAACTTGTGGCGGGAACACGCTTACACGTTGCCTCCAGAAACGGTGATAAAACAAAAACTTGTTATAAAAAAGATATAAACTACGAACGATGAATTTTTAGTATCTATATAAAATAATCAATCGTAACGAAATGCCATATTTGCAATCTACATCATCAAAATGTTTTTGTGTTTGTCTAGATTGCTCGTCTACGTTCAATGTTGGATGCCGACGAACCATTTAAGCCGGACCAGGCGTATGAATATTTTATCAATTTAAGAAAAACTCGGAAGAAAGCTACTGCGTAAGTTTCACTTATATAAAATACTTAAGTATTGTTTAGTAAAAGACCATGAAAATGATAAGAAACTTTTTTTATTATTTCAGCACATCACGTGTTAATGCAATAAAGAAAGATATGTTGACTATGGTTGGCGAAAAAAGGTTCGTATGGGCACGAAACGCTACTGTGGCGTTCGCTAGGGGGATACAACAACGATTATCCAGACCTGGGCGTTATGCACTGGCCGATGGGTAAGTGTTCTCACCCATGTGTTGTAATAACTGAATAAGTCTGTATTTATCGTTCACATACTTCACATAATTCAGTAAATAAGAAGTATACTGCTACGATGCGTAGTACGCCTACGCCGTAGCACTCCGAGTGCAAGAGTTTATACTAGCTACAATCGCGCGGTTTCGCCTTTAAACAAAAAAAATAGTTGTTAAATTCGAACCAGTGGTTTTGGAGATTAGCGCGTGCAAACAAACAAAAGCTATAGCTTTAAAATATTAATATAAATTTATCTCTTCGGAACATAGGAAATACACAATTTTATAGTGTGTAGCGAGGAATATACATTTGTAATTAAATAAAGGCTCCATAAAAACTGTGTTATGTATTATTTCTGCAGAATGCTAAGGTTGTCTAATATTATCTTGGATGACATTTGCGGTTATATGCACATGAAAACTCCTTCGAGGCGATGTACGCACCCTAAAGCGAGGTTCATGATGGAGATAGCTGATAAGGTATTTTATTTTTTTAATTGGATAATTTCTTTGGTTTAACATACATTTTTTTGTATAAACGATGTCCTGTGTTGTTATTATCTACAAACAAATTTTTTAAATAAGTACCGGTTTGACAATCCAGTAAAAGTATTGAATTTATATTATTAAGGTATGTCACACAGTAGGAAACTATCGGATTAATAATACTGGTCACGCCAGATCACCTTAGTAATAATATGTATATTATTATAACCTGTGTATTTACCTAATTATTTTTTCAATATAGGTTGCCGTTTGGATTGACGAAATTCTATCAGAATCAGACGACAGGATGCTAATGATGGACTTCGATGAAGACGATGGTAAGTGTACTGTTGTAGTTTAAAAATAGCGTCCGAAGGAACTATTGTCAACATTTTATATGGATCTCGCGGTATTTGAACTCCCCACCGACTAAGGTAAGCCGTAAGCCGTGCCGTTTGAAATTGTGACAATCGTTCATTAATGTGTTCGACCATCTCATTTTGAAATTATTATAAATTCCGAGAAAAATGGTGCCTCCACAAAAAATCAAACAAACGATATCGAACAATTGTTTACAAAGTCAAATTACTCGGTTTCTTTCTTTTTTTTTTTTGATCAGCCAATTTTCTCGGAAGCACAAGAATATCTGTTGTATCTAAAGGTATGTTTTGTAATATTTCTAAATTATTTTGTACGAGAAGAAGTGGAAAGGTTCTTCGAAGATGAAGTTAGGCCAGAAGGAGAACCTCATGACAAGGATAAGTCGCCATTATTGGCGTCGCCTGCTGCTACTGATGGCGGTGTTACTCCTGAGCCTGTCCCTGGGCTTGGGCCTATACCGGTGTCAGTGCCAGGCTCCCCGACTGCTGAAGCAATCCCAGGTGGCACTACCCTGGCTGCCGCCATTCCCCTGGCCGCCGGCACTCCCCTGGACGCTGCGACTCCCCTGGGCGACGCTACACCACTGTCCGCCGCCACGTCGCTGGCCGCCTCAACTCCCCTGGCCGCCGCCACCCCCCTGGCCGCCAGCACCACGCCACAGTCAGCCCAGACACCAGCCACCACAACCACGCCTGGTGATCAAACACCCCTAAGTACTACTACATCGGGAGCTACAACTAAGTAAAAAAAACCTCGTTGGTACCGATGTTAAAAAAAGGGGATTCGAGTGAGTAGCCAAAATCCGTTTTTTAATTCTAATAAGTCCTTCAATAAGCAATATTTTATATTGCAGTTACTTTTTGTTCACAGATATACTAGGGGGTTCGAAAGGTGACGATGATGGTTTTACGGATGAATTTCTCGATATGATGAGTTTTGTAAGTATTCTCTTTCATTTCTAAGTTGGTCTAAGCTTCAGTCCGTTATTAATCGATGTGACTTTAATAGGCTTTAACCACTACACCTGATTGTGGGACCTACAAGAAAATACAGGATCCCAATGAATTTAAGTATAACGAGCGTTTAGAAACAGTCCTTGAAATAACCTATGTATATAGACCTGAATCAACCGCACCTACTTGATGCAAAATGCTACTTCTCCCTGGCATGAAATATACTGGAATTGTGTGAACTCGATCCACAGAAAGACTTGACTTACTTTACACATAACTAAATGTTACCACATAACAAATGTTACTTACTCAGCTACTAAAGTAATTTTAAAATATAAAAATAAAGTAAAATATTTTTAAAGCCCGTTTTTAATTTATCTCATTTTCCATATTTTACAAGTGAACACGGCGGTACGAGGTAATTAATTTTATGAAATTATACCTTATAATTGCTTAAAATCTTCATTTTCCATTAGGTACTTATTTCTTTGGAAGTTATCCGTTGTGTTCATTTGTATCAGATGGAGAATGAAGATTTTATATCGCTTTATATCTGTGTATTTTTATAAAAATATAACATGGTTTACGTTTTCAGGGCGAAGGGAGACCACCTCTACTAAACTTGGGTGAGTACCAACAAAATGCTAAGTAGCAAAATGGAATGTCTTTATAATAATACCGGTTTTATTTTTAAAATCTGTTATTTTTTTGTTGTAGATCGTCCTGCGCATTCTCGATTTAAAGGTACGCGCGACGCACGACACTGTTTTATTACTATATGAAGTATAAGTAAAATATGTAAAACTATAATCTAGTTGTTTTTACGGCCTGCCCTTCGTAAGGGTGTCCCAACTACATCGCTTACGACGAAAAACTCGCTTATCCCTTTTGTTTTTTTTTTTAATTTTTCGTCCCTTGACAATAAAAACCCCCGAAAAATGGCGTTCGGTTCAGTATGTAAACAAAGATAATGAACCCTAGAAGTGTGCATAAATATGTATTGTCGTATTAAGTCTGTGCTGAAGTATCTTTCAACCTTCTAGAGTAAATAAGCATTGTGATTGAATTATATTTTTACCACCATTTAATAATTCCTGACTAATAAAAATCTAGGTAAAATGAAGGACGCCTTTGATGTATTGATGACTGAAATGGACCAGAAGGGCGATCAGAAACTAGTTTCGCATGGAAAATTTAACTTCACCTACCAAGAGGCGGCCAAAGCGTAAGAAATGTTTTTCTCGTAAATATATTTCAAGTTTAACTAAAGTTCATCTTATAGTGAATTAATTTATATTTTTGTCATAGGTTGAAAGATGCGAATAATTTTAAAGCTACAGAATACAGTGTAAAAGTGGCAAATAAAATTAATAATAAACTGACAGAACTTGTTAAGGAAGTCACTCCACCAGAACTCACCAGAAATATGAAAGGTTAGCATCTGATAAGACTTTACTACACCTACCTAGACATTCTTGAAAGGTGTTTTCAAATGGGCGACTTAACAATTCTGGGATTTGCATTATAATTACAATGGTGATACCAGATGATAGGCAAAAAATAGAGGTGAAAAAATGTAGGGGAATTGTTGTTGTATGTTATTCAGTCCATTTTACCGTTATATGTATAATATTTCTACCTAATTTCTACATTCTGCGCCTATATTTGATATTTGTAAAACACACCGACATACAAAAGTATACACTAATGCGGGGCAACATTTTTTAAAAAAATATTTAGACATCTATAACATTCGTCAAATAAACTGATACAATGCATTTGTTTTTTGTTTTTACTAAGAAATTCCTTTTTATTTCACAGATATGATTGAAATCTGCTCAAATTACTTAGCACAAGATGCAGAATTTCATAGTATGGTGATAAATACCTATTTTTACTTACTTTGTATATTCCTTTTTATTTCGTTTGTTTTTCTTTATTGTACTGAAGGCACAATATCCTTTTACTTAATAAATATAAATTTACTATGGAACAACAAGCCATCCATAAAATAATTTATCGTTTAAACTCCTTCTGACTAGACTCCTTCTTGCTTTTATGCTACTAAACATTGTATTACAGAGAAAAAGGGCCCGGCTTTCCAAATATTGACCGATGCCATGAAGAAGAAAGGCAGTGACGTTATGTACCGGAAGAACAAAACTGAACGTACTTACGGTCAGGCAGCTCAACTGTGAGTCGTATTAATTATATGTCAGACATTGTTAAGATGGAATGCGAACAGACATTCTGGTCACCTGATCAAAAGCAATGTGCGTTGCTTGGATTGCTTGCAGCAACACCGCAGTAGTTGCAAGAGCGTTGCTGGCATTTTGTGGGTTAGAGATTTGAGGATTTTTGGTTTTTTAGGGGGAAATACTGGACCTACAATCCAACATACTTATAAGCGCGGATTTGCGCACCGCCAGCAAGGCCGAGTGATGCTTAACCAGAATCAAACCCCTTAAGTCGGCGCGTCGCGTTCCGCGCGGTCTTCATATAGCCACCAGGCTACCACAGATTGGGCCCACTAAGGCCGTAACCAATCGGGGTACCGCGGCTCGGATCGGAGCAAGACAAGAAACGGCGTGGGTTTTAGTCATTCAGTATAAAACACATAGAATGGTTCGGGAACCAATATGAATCCGAAGTAATTGTATGATTTTCCAACCATAAAAAACATGATGAACTTTAACATTTATACGATTCTTAAAAAGTGTTTTTTTAAAGGAAGGAATATTTGTGATTTTTTTTTTTTTTTGAAGGGGAAAATTTCTTGTGAATTCTCTTGCCCTGTGTGGGCCGAGAGGGGAGTATCTTTTACTGACTAAGAACCACTGAGTCTCACCGAGTAAAATCACACGACTTTTCGTTACTATTTAGATTTTTATGACTATCACTTTTTTATTAGACTGGAACGAGCTGAAGGTCTGGAATCAGATCACGATGATCCCAACTTGTCGCAAGAGATTCATGCTACAATGACAGAATTAGTGAAAAACCAGTTTCCAGAAGATATGAAAAAGGATATGGATGGTAAAGAAATGTCCCATCATATCGGAACCAAAGTAAATGTAATTAAACATTTTATTGAAAAATATCTTTTTTCTCAGGTATTGTGGACGTTTCTTCGAAATATTTATCTCAAGTAGCTGTCGATGACAGTAAGCGTACATTAAAATATTTGTCAAATACATAATCAATTATTTTAATAATAAAATGATTTGGCTTTTTATTTCTTTTTTTCTTTTAGCCGACCGTGGTCCTGTGTTTGATTTTTTAATTAAGAATTTGATTGAACATGGAGATCAACCTTTTTCTGATATTTTTCCTCTTACTACGAGTAGTGCAGCTGCTCACATGTGAGTTTAACATGTTTTTAAGTTTATTTATATATTTTTGATAGGAAAGTGGTGAACCCATTAAACATATGGTAGGTACAGGTACTCAACAGGTAGTTCTAGAAGTTTTGTTAAAAGTATTTCGACACAGCAAAAGTCTATTACAATCATAGCTAGGACAGAGTTCTTTTTATCTTTGCGCCCACCACGACCACGGTCTGAAACCGAATGTGTGCAATATATAAAAACATACAAAAAAATAGGTTCGGTAAGAATGACTGAATTCTGTGGACTATACGAAGCGCCGCCTGGAGACAGAAAAAGTATCGAAATCCCTTATACGTTCATTGCTCATAATGTTTAGATGTTTGTTTTACCATGAGTCATAGCGTGGTCCACTTCTGCAATGTACGACGAACACAAGACGCGCCTCACAACGCCCTATTTATTTTATTGCATGCGACGCCTGTGTGTACAATACCCATAATTATGAATCGACATAAGTATATCTTCGAATTTTGGAATTAACTTCTACAGACAATTTTACTCTCGTGAAAACAGCAATTAAAATGTAACTTGTTAAAAATGTCTTGTTCTCACAAAGTCTAGCTAGATCATCGACTGATTCGTCTTTTTGCAGCTTACAAACAGCACCTGAACTTTGGTACGCGAAACCTGACCCTGCGACTGTGGATAAAATGAAAGCAGCTCTGCATAAAGCTATAGATCCAAACACTCCGGAACATATGGCAAAGGATATGAAACGTGCGTCCCCACTTTTTATACATTGTTTATTTAATGACACTAACTTAAGCGTAAAAAGATCTCAGACTTTTGATTTATTCGTTCATGATAATGGCATTCTTACAGGTGTTATTGAACAATGTGCTAATTACTTGTCCGCTTTCATCCGAGATCGAGGTTAGTTATCTAACTTAATATGATTTCCAAGACAAATATTTCCTTTCAAATAAAACTGAAACCTTTGATGTTTTTGTTGCCAATAGGTGCTGCGATGGACCTGTTGTTACAGATGATGAAAAAAAATCCAACAAACGTTTTTGCAACAAGAAATAAATATGCATTGGACTATGCACAAGGAGCAAAAGAGTTAGTACACTTAAAAAAAGATACATTTTGAACGTGGAACATTTTCAAGGACCGTATTCTGGTGCTCAAATAAAACAGCATTTTCAGTAAAACCAAAATAAAAATGAAGCAAAATAAAAGCAAAATGATCAATCAGTTGTTGCGATTTGTAAATGAATTCATGGAAAAAGTTGTAATTGAGCACCAAAACCGGCTTCTTGAATAATTTGCTTCATTCAAAATGCCACCCTGCATTAGAAGGACCCTGTAGTAAAAGAAATAGAAAATCTTTATTAATTAGGCAATTATTTACATTTATACAGTATACAAGAAGCACCAGATCTCATCACACATTTGCATATAAAAGATATTGCTGATGAAGGAAAAACCAATTTAACGAAAGACATGAAGAATGTGACTCCAGACGCTTTGCAGGCTCCAATGGCAGGTAGGTTTAAAGCAGTTTACTATAACGACAGAAGATAAATGAAAAGTATAAAATTTTAATATGTGGTTTTCTTCTAGCATTGATCAAGGATGTCTCTAAATATCTATCCCAGATGGTGGCCTTGAGAAGTAAGAAAAAGTTTATAAATATAAAAGCACACTACCTACCTATTTTTCTACTTACAATTTAATCTATTAATAAAACCTATAGGTGGAATAGCTGGCGACAGATATCCGAAAAGCTTGTTGGCTTCAATGGAAAAATCTATGGGAAAAAAACCCCTTTACAAATACAGGTCTTACGGACAAAGTTATGCAGAAGCGGCAGATGTGTACGTACTATGTGGCATGACAGTTACATTTGTATTTTTATAGGTTATTTATGAAATTATATGAATATGTACAGCTTGCAACATGGAGGACCTTCAGTTACTCCAGAATCACAGCAACCTACAGAACCAGCATCAGATTTGGCCCAAAAAAGTCTTACTGAGTCCAAACATAGGCTCTTAGTGTCGGAAGGACTTTCTTACGACGATATACATCCAACAAAGTCAACTAAAGAGTTGGGTTTTGAAATTGCTACTGAAATGAAGAAAACTTTACCAAAACAAGTAGCTCCAGATGTAGCTGCAGGATTGGAAGGTACCTAAACATTTGCTTTTGAAATGACCCAATTAGCCTTTGTAAAGTCTTGAATGACTAAATAAAAATGTTTAAATACATTAAAATTAACACTTCACTCTACATCTGGACACATCATCTGATTCCTTTTCCACTATACTTCTTATTTGTGCAGATACAATTGATAAAGCTGCTACGCAAATAGCGAAACATGCGGGTGGACAAGGTAAAGTAAAATTGACTTCATTGTGCTACTATTATTTTAATGCTAAATAGTATTACATGCAAGAAGTTTATCTATTGTACGATAAGTTATAACAACTGATCATAATGTGCTCAATAGGAAAAGCATTGGAACATTTGACGAATTTAATGAAAGAAAAGGGAGACGAAAAACTTGCGAGGTTGCAAGGTTACGATCAGACTTACAGTGATGCAGCTAAAAGGTTTGTTGCAATTTAACGAAATTAAAATAAAACGGAAAAGTAACAAAAAAACAATAGAAAATATTCAATAGTGAATAAAAGTAAAAACAAATAACCGATAGGATTCTGGCATGACGCATTGACGCAACACGCTATGATAATTAAGTATTTCTGCTAAAATAAAATATAGCAATAAACACTTAATTTACTATGTTTTAGACTGGAAAATACTCCAACTTTAAACACGGAGAAGGTCGATAAATCAGCTTACGAAATTGTGAAAGCTAAACTCACCGATTTAACTAAGGACAAACCAGCCAATGAGAAGGTTGAAAAACATATACCAGGCATGTATGACAAGCTAAAAGTTATAAAACATGTGGTATATTTTTGAATAGTAAGAATCGTGGGACAAGGGGACAATACATACAAAATGTATGATAATAACGACCTACGTGAATTCACTGAAAAAGACTAATAGTTCCAAGTCAGACAAAAGCCAGTCAACTGCGCACACGCTGCTCAACGCTGGGACCTAAAACTAGTAGAGCTTTTCTCAATTAATTTACAAGTCGTTATTTTGAATAAACTTGTGGTATAGTGTAAACAAATTAGGCTTATGTCATTAAGAGCTAGTTTTGGTCAGCATTTACAATAAAATTTAAAATGTGCAGGTATCGTCGAAGAGAGCTCTAAATTTCTAGCAGGACCCCCACCTGAGAGTGAGTAAAATTATGATTACTGAACATTTTGTTTATTTTTTATATGGGCTATTAAATCTTTACCGTTATATTTGTGTCTCTAGCGAACGCTGAGAAGAAAGAAGTGTTACAAGATTTACTAGCCGCAAAAGGGGATCAAATTTTAGATGAAGCAGGACCTTATAAAATAACTTATCAAGAGGCTGGTGAGGCGTAAGTTTTGATTTATATTTGAAATGTAGTAGTTATTGGTTGCACATTGTGGAAATCGGGCATATATCATAAAAAAAAATATTTTGCTTTTAGGCTTAAGCACGCTCCAGCTGGTGTCAATAAAGCTCATGACGAGCAGAAAAAGGAAGAAATGATTAAGAAAATTGAGGCTGTCTTCCCTGATAAAAAGATGGCTGCTGCATACAAAGGTAAAAACTTTTAATTGTTTGCGACACCATGGTCACCAGACTTAAAAACGTTAGGCTGACAACAACGTGTTTACATTTTAATGCTATTTACTTTTATGAAAAGTCTCATTTATTTTTATTTAATTGTAGAACCAATCACAGAAGGTGCGGCGCACCTGGCTGACGTCGTTACTGGAAGAGGTAACTAATACCCGATATAAACCAAAGCCAGATTTTAAGAGGTGCACGTTGCTGTTTTGTGTTTTGTTATTTTTTCACAATTTTCGATTGAACATAAATTCCTCTTCTAATCCTTACTCTCTTCCAAATTGAGGCAACAATAATACAAAATCTGAAAATATACAACACGAAAAATTTATCACCACTACAAAATAATTATGTATTATGCTAAAATGTATTTATCTTTATACATGCATCGAACGCAAGATAAATAAAAAAACAGATGCACAAAATCTTGTTAATTTAAATTTCAGGTGAAGCCATGGAAGTAATTCAAGACAGTTTGAACAAAAAAAAGGATAAACCGTTTCTTGATGTTGGAAGTTTCAAGAAAACACATGGTCAAATAGCGGAATTGTATGTTTTTTGATAGTTTGGTCGCAGAAGCCAGGACAATGAAAAAAATACTAGACTGTGCCCACACCTGTTTCAATTCCCTATATCGTTATACCCCTTGCCCCTACCACGAATGCAAGGACTTAGTTAGCGGCTGGCCTATTACTGAGTGACTGACTGATTAAAATATTAGGATAATTATTAATAGGGTGGTTTTAAATTGAAACCAAACTAATTCTATTGTTTTTTAAATAATGCATCCATATTTTGCTAGATTGAAAAACGCACCAAATCTTCATGGTGAAAAGGCCTCTCCAGTTTTGATGGAAAATGTTGAACACCAACTGAATGTACTTCCTAAAGAGGTACCGGCAGATAAACCACTAGCTAAGCAGCATATGAAAGGTTAGAAAAATTAAAGCACCCAATTCCTTTAAATCTGTTATGTCTATCTAAATTTTATCTTCTATGGATATTTAAAACTGACTCACTGAGTTTTATGAATACATTAAACAATTCCAGATACTACTCAAATCGCAGCAAAATATATCGCATCTAAAGCTACGGCAGAAAGTAAGTTTAAAGTATATTTTATCTTACGCATTCGTGAGTACATTATTTTGAGAAATACTCAAATAAAAAAAATGCTTGTTCAAGGTGGTTTAGGAGCACAAGAACTAGCAAAACTGGATAAATCTGGATTCAACGAAGAAGCCAAAGCCGCATCGTATGCAATTTTTAAACTTCTATCTAATCACAGTAATAAAATGTAACTTTAACAGCACCCCTTAATATTTATAAATATCATTTGCAGTGAAGCACTTCGAAGAACTGCACAAGAAGATTTTGTGAAGCATGACAAGACTAGTGGTGTTACGTCTAAAGCCAAAATAAAGGATGGAACAGAAAATAAACCACACACCCCGGATGGCGTAACAGTTGGCCCTGATGGAAAATTATATAGCCCTGACGGTAAATTGTATGTCCCTGATGGTAAAGTGATTGGCCCTGATGGCAAAGTTTATGGCCCCGACGGTAAAGCACACACCCCGGATGGCGTAACAGTTGGCCCTGATGGAAAATTATATAGCCCTGACGGTAAATTGTATGTCCCTGATGGTAAAGTAATTGGCCCTGATGGCAAAGTTTACGGCCCCGACGGCAAAGCACACACCCCGGATGGCGTAACAGTCGGCCCTGATGGAAAATTATATGACCCTGATGGAAAATTATATGTTCCTGACGGAAATGTGATTGGCCCTGATGGTAAAGTTTACGGCCCTGACGGTAAAGCACACACCCCGGATGGCGTAACAATTGGCCCTGATGGTAAAGCACACACCCCTGATGGCGTAACAGTTGGCCGTGATGGAAAATTATATAGCCCTGATGGTAAATTATATGTCCCCGATTGTAAAGTAATTGGCCCTGATGGCAAAGTTTACGGCCCGGACGGCAAAGTACACACCCCGGATGGCGTAACAGTCGGCCCTGATGGAAAATTATATAGCCCTGATGGTAAATTATATGTCCCCGATGGTAAAGTAATTGGCCCTGATGGCAAAGTTTACGGCCCGGACGGCAAAGTATACACCCCGGATGGCGTAACAGTCGGCCCAGATGGAAAATTATATAGCCCTGATGGTAAATTATATGTCCCCGATGGTAAAGTAATTGGCCCTGATGGCAAAGTTTACGGCCCGGACGGCAAAGCACACACCCCGGATGGCGTAACAGTCGGCCCTGATGGAAAATTGTATAACCCTGATGGTAAATTATATGTCCCTGATGGAAATGTGATTGGCCCTGATGGCAAAGTTTACGGCCCTGACGGTAAAGCACACACCCCGGATGGGGCAACAATTGGCCCTGATGGTAAAGCACACACCCCTGATGGCGTAACAGTTGGCCGTGATGGAAAATTATATAGCCCTGATGGTAAATTATATATCCCCGATGGTAAAGTAATTGGCCCTGATGGCAAAGTTTACGGCCCGGACGGCAAAGCACACACCCCGGATGGCGTAACAGTCGGCCCAGATGGAAAATTATATAGCCCTGATGGTAAATTGTATGTCCCCGTTGGTAAAGTAATTGGCCCTGATGGCAAAGTATACGGTCCTGATGGCAAAGCACACACTCCGGATGGTGTAACAGTTGGCCGTGATGGAAAATTATACAGCCCTGATGGTAAATTATATGTCCCCGATGGTAAAGTAATTGGCCCTGATGGCAAAGTTTACGGCCCGGACGGCAAAGCACACACCCCGGATGGCGTTACCGTCGGCCCAGATGGAAAATTATATAGCCCTGATGGAAAATTATATATTCCTGATGGAAATGTGATTGGCCCAGATGGCAAAGTTTATGGCCCTGACGGTAAAGCACACATTCCGGATGGTGTGACAGTCGGCCCTGATGGAAAATTATATAGCCCTGATGGTAAATTGTATGTCCCTGGTGGAGTCATGTCTGGACCAGGCGGTGTCATTCAAGACTCAGGAGTAGCATATGGGCCTGATGGCGTTAGAACGGGAGGCTCTACGACTTACAGCACAGCTAGTTATGGTCCAAGCCCTGAGAGCCTTGGTTACCCACCCCTTCGTGGTGAAACTAAAGAGCAACGTCAACGACGGTTAGCCGAGGCCGAGGCATACAGAAAATACGAAGAAAGTGAAAGAAGGAGACTGGGTGATAAGGAATACTTTAGAAGACAAGAAGAAAGATTAAGACGAGAAATGGAAGCTGGCGGGCCAGGTGAGAATACCTTTGCATGAATATAAATTATTATCTGCCGTCTCTAATTTGGTAAATGAAAAGCTATTAGCTTACAGCAATATTTACTTGTTAATATATTCACTTGTTTACACTATGCTAACTAAATATTTGTGTTTGCAGGAAAATACCGAGGTGGGGCACTGGGTGCTGGTAAGTTGGTCGATAAATAATTTTGAAACCTAGATTACATAACACTTAAGTTTGAAATATACTTACAATTTTGTAAAGGAATCCAATCTATAACTGAGTTTCTTTGTATAGATTACGATAAGGAGCATGAATCAGCACTGGATATCCTTCACGAACAATTGAAAGCACACGGGTCGGAAATATTCTACCAACAACCCCAAACTATCCTCACGCATGCTCAGGCTTCTGAGTGGTAAGTTCAAAACAAAACTAGTTTGATTTTAGTGCCAAATTATTACAACTGCTTGCACTTATGACAATGTAGCAGTTATAGACATGTGTATTATCAAAGTCATCATCAAAAACTACTCTGCATACTTATAGGGTTTATATGGTCCAAAGGTTAAAAGGTCCGCTTCTTCATCGAGTTATGTACTTTTTATTAGATTATTTAGACACCATTGACATCTTGTCTAGTAAAAAAAATTCAAAATAAAACCTGGACTTACAATAAGCTTGGAATCGCCAACTCAACTAGAGCAAGTATTTCTCATTTCTCAGCAGGCAGTTAAATGTTGATGATATGACAACTACTGTGTTTTTTATTGTAGGCTTTCTTGGCCAATGCCGATAAAAGTGGATGAGGTAGTTAAGAATTCTACCGACACTGCACGTCTTCATAAGAAGTTCGAAAAAAAACTCAATGCTCTCGTCAACAACGTGACCCCACCACACTTGGCTGATTGCATGCAAGGTAAAAAATATAATAAAAATAAGCAACACTATTTTTGAAGGATTTGGATGAGTCATTTCATTTGAGGGTAGTATAGCATAGTAGGCTGCGCGACGTCGCCGCGTCCGCGCACGCTGCTCATGAGGAAGAACCTCTCTGTGGTTCGAAACTAGTAGAGCTTTTCTCAATATATACTCGCGAGTAACCCACGATTTTTAGTTAATCCTTTCATTTTACCCATACCTACATCGGGCTTGCTGCAATTGTAGCGGTAAGACCTCTTGAGGAGTTTCTAGAGAGACACCACAGCGTGTTCGCCTTCCACCTGATACAGGTACTAGACATGATTATAAAAAAAAAACATTTAACAACCTCGGAATGAGTCATACCTCATTCCGAGGTTGTTAAATGTTTTTTTTTTAAATTAACTACATACAATTCTTTCTACAGACGTCGTCATTGAAGGTGCTCGAAGGCTGTCTGAATACTTTATCTCGAAAAGTAAGCAATTTATCGTATCTATTGCATTTAATCCAATCTACAAAATATACAATAAATAGTTACAAACATTAACTTTTTCTATGGCAGGTTACAATGCGCTCGTCAACGATGCGCTTATATCAGAGATGCAAAAGCGTGGTAACGAAATACTTTCAGAAGTGGAAGGCGCTGCAGAATCTTATTTTTTTGCGTCTCAAAGGTTAGATTTTGCATTAGATTGTGTACAATCACCACGAAATATTTCATCTTTGATATTTCATGTAACGAATTGTCATCACAGTATTAAAACAAATTCAGGTAGGTCTATTACTTTAATAAATTCTTTACCCAAAAATGTGTAGGTTAAAGAAAGTAGATTCGTTGGAGGTACAGGAACCATGCTACAAGATCGCTACTGATGTCAATAAGAAATTGGACGACATGATTAAAGTTCGTCCTTTGCCACGGAAATTAAACATGATAATGAAAGGTAAGCTTTTGTTATCCATAATTATGTAGAAGGGAATTTAATTACTTATGTTCCAACTTCCCCCTTAGCCTCTTGAAAGGATTAGTCAGTAGCTTCTTTTGTTCCGATACTTTTTATTGTGTTCTAACTAAGTAAAATGAGTCGTAATGATATTTTTTCTAATAATTATACATTGTTGTTTGGATATCATTTGCTTCAGAATTACACACCTGACCCTCTTTTGCAGATCACATTAAAGACGCTTCGAGCTTTTTATCTGCAATGGTTACCAAGCCCGGTGAGTAATGTATACATTTGTTAACCTGTCAACTTCAATACCCTTCCGCGTTTGCAGTCCGTTCGAGGCTATGGGAATCAGGTGTTACCGTCAAAATCTGAAACCAATATACTTACGTATTAATGAGGACTTAGAATACGATGAATGGCGCATCATGGTTCCTACATACAAAGGATCCTTAGAATTAAAATTATTTTCAGATGAGACAATTGAGGCTTACGTCGCATTGTTAAATGAAATGGACACGGCAGGAGATGCTTTTCTATTGCAAGGATATAATCCAAAGACCTACAAAGAGGCCGCCGACTAGTAAGCCTTCATGTGTTTTTGTCATCATGAGCAAGAAACTCCATCACTGGATGGAGTTTCTTGCTCGTTCTACTCCATTCGAATCTACAATTTGGAATGAGCACCTAGCTTCATTGACGAACAGACTGACAGACTACTTTTCTATTTTGACGTTTCAAAAGTACCTATTTATGGTTTAGTTGGAATAAATGATTTTGACTTTGACTTTGACATCTATAATAAAAGCCAAGCTATTTTACACTTAAAATAAAAAAACTTTACTTTTTAGACATATTAAGAAAAGTTAACAATATCATTATAATTATTTAGAGATATTGGTAGACGTATTTTGTATAGATATAGATAACGTGACTTTTGACTAAACCTTATTTCAGTCTTCGGCAGTTGACGTCAAATAAAGATAAGATCAATCGTCCGAACCCTTTAATGCAAACAGCGATCCAGAATAAGCTTAACCAACTGATGGACAATGTTCCACCTACCAGTTATAGCCCAACCATTTTGAAATGTAAGTTCGAAAACTCAATAAAAATACTGTCAATATTTTGTATCCATAACTGCATAATGATGTAGTATGTATATAGTAGATATAGTATGGTTATCGTGGTTTGGACTGATGGCTGATTCAATGTAGAAGGCTGGTATGCTTAATAAAACTTCAGTGGACTGTACCTTCAGTGGACTGTATTCAAGGTTCAATAAAAATGGCAATCGACGGTGCAACAAATAAGTTCTTTATTTAAGATGCGCGAGCAGTGAGCACGGCTGTTCGTCTGGCCTAGTGACAGTCAACTATCAGAACAGCACGGCAGTCAACTATCAGAACAGCACGGCTGTTTTCGTCTGGCCTAGTGACAGTCAACTGTCTGAACAGAACGGTTGTTCGTCTGGCCTAGTGACAGTCAACTGTCAGAACAGCACGGCTGTTCGTCTCGCCTAGTGACAGTCAACTATCTGAACAGAACGGTTGTTCGTCTGGCCTAGTGACAGTCAACTATCAGAACAGCACGGCTGTTTTCGTCTGGCCTAGTGACAGTCAACTGTCTGAACAGAACGGTTGTTCGTCTGGGCTAGTGACAGTCAACTGTCTGAACAGCACGGCTGTTCGTCTGGCCTAGTGACAGTCAACTGTCAGAACAGCACGGCTGTTCGTCTGGCCTAGTGACAGCCAACTGTCTGAACAGAACGGTTGTTCGTCTGGCCTAGTGACAGTCAACTGTCTGAACAGCACGGCTGTTCGTCTGGCCTAGTGACAGCCAACTGTCTGAACAGAACGGCTGTTCGTCTGGGCTAGTGACAGTCAACTGTCTGAACAGCACGGCTGTTCGTCTGGCCTAGTGACAGCCAACTGTCTGAACAGAACGGTTGTTCGTCTGGCCTAGTGACAGTCAACTGTCTGAACAGCACGGCTGTTCGTCTGGCCTAGTGACAGCCAACTGTCTGAACAGAACGGTTGTTCGTCTGGCCTAGTGACAGTCAACTGTCAGAACAGCACGGCTGTTCGTCTGGCCTAGTGACAGCCAACTGTCTGAACAGAACGGTTGTTCGTCTGGGCTAGTGACAGTCAACTGTCTGAACAGCACGGCTGTTCGTCTGGCCTAGTGACAGTCAACTGTCAGAACAGCACGGCTGTTCGTCTGGCCTAGTGACAGCCAACTGTCTGAACAGAACGGTTGTTCGTCTGGCCTAGTGACAGTCAACTGTCTGAACAGCACGGCTGTTCGTCTGGCCTAGTGACAGCCAACTGTCTGAACAGAACGGTTGTTCGTCTGGGCTAGTGACAGTCAACTGTCTGAACAGCACGGCTGTTCGTCTGGCCTAGTGACAGTCAACTGTCTGAACAGAACGGTTGTTCGTCTGGCCTAGTGACAGTCAACTGTCTGAACAGCACGGCTGTTCGTCTGGCCTAGTGACAGCCAACTGTCTGAACAGAACGGTTGTTCGTCTGGCCTAGTGACAGTCAACTGTCTGAACAGCACGGCTTTTCGTCTGGCCTAGTGACAGTCAACTGTCTGAACAGCACGGCTGTTCGTCTGGCCTAGTGACAGTCAACTGTCTGAACAGAACGGTTGTTCGTCTGGCCTAGTGACAGTCAACTGTCTGAACAGCACGGCTGTTCGTCTGGCCTAGTGACAGTCAACTGTCTGAACAGAACGGTTGTTCGTCTGGCCTAGTGACAGTCAACTGTCTGAACAGCACGGCTTTTCGTCTGGCCTAGTGACAGTCAACTGTTTGAACAGAACGGTTGTTCGTCTGGCCTAGTGACAGTCAACTGTCAGAACAGCACGGCTGTTCGTCTGGCCTAGTGACAGCCAACTGTCTGAACAGAACGGTTGTTCGTCTGGCCTAGTGACAGTCAACTGTCTGAACAGCACGGCTGTTCGTCTGGCCTAGTGACAGCCAACTGTCTGAACAGCACGGCTGTTCGTCTGGCCTAGTGACAGCCAACTGTCTGAACAGAACGGTTGTTCGTCTGGCCTAGTGACAGTCAACTGTCTGAACAGCACGGCTTTTCGTCTGGCCTAGTGACAGCCAACTGTCTGAACAGAACGGTTGTTCGTCTGGCCTAGTGACAGTCAACTGTCAGAACAGCACGGCTGTTCGTCTGGCCTAGTGACAGCCAACTGTCTGAACAGAACGGTTGTTCGTCTGGCCTAGTGACAGTCAACTGTCTGAACAGCACGGCTGTTCGTCTGGCCTAGTGACAGCCAACTGTCTGAACAGAACGGTTGTTCGTCTGGCCTAGTGACAGTCAACTGTCTGAACAGCACGGCTGTTCGTCTGGCCTAGTGACAGTCAACTGTCTGAACAGAACGGTTGTTCGTCTGGCCTAGTGACAGTCAACTGTCAGAACAGCACGGCTGTTCGTCTGGCCTAGTGACAGCCAACTGTCTGAACAGAACGGTTGTTCGTCTGGCCTAGTGACAGTCAACTGTCTGAACAGCACGGCTGTTCGTCTGGCCTAGTGACAGCCAACTGTCTGAACAGAACGGTTGTTCGTCTGGCCTAGTGACAGTCAACTGTCTGAACAGCACGGCTGTTCGTCTGGCCTAGTGACAGTCAACTGTCAGAACAGCACGGCTGTTCGTCTGGCCTAGTGACAGTCAACTGTCTGAACAGAACGGCTGTTCCTCTGGGCTAGTGACAGTCAACTGTCTGAACAGCACGGCTGTTCGTCTGGCCTAGTGACAGTCAACTGTCTGAACAGCACGGCTGTTCGTCTGGGCTAGTGACAGTCAACTGTCAGAACAGCACGGTTGTTCGTCTGGCCTAGTGACAGTCAACTGTCAGAACCGCAGAACGTGTGACCATAATATAGACCGGCCGTCGCAGTAATACTATCTGTTAATATCGTGCGGCCGTCAGTCCTTTTCGCAGAGGAGTGATGTCGAAGGTCGTTGTCTCGACAAACGTACAAAATACATATAAATCCCATCGATCTAAATTAATATAGGCTCATATTATAAACCTTTAAAATAGCATGTCTTAGTCCTTCCCTTTCCTTCCCTTTGCCTTGTATACCTATTGGTATATTTTGTTTCTAGCGGTCATCGCAGAAGCAGCGGCACTTCTGACTTCGTACATAATGCTCCAAGGTTGGTACCATGAAATCCTTTGTTTAAACGTTACCTACCTAAGTTGGTCAATTAAAACAATGTTTATTTATGTAGGATCAAAGACGGCAGCATTAAACGAGCTAGTGCAAGAAATTACAAAAGCAGGCGATGGTGTACTATTAAGACATGGACCTTTACGTAAATCTTTCAAAGAGGGCGCTGATTTGTTAGTATGATATAATACCATATATTTTTAAGTGTAGTAAAAATCCTCAAATGTTGTTCCTACCATCAATGCCACTTTTAGTTGTAATGTTATAACTTAACAATGCCTAACTTCTAATCTTCTCCATGAGAAGAGGCCTTTGCTCAGCAGTGGGCACTTATAGGCCCATGATGAATGCCTTTACCGATTTGGTTAATTTTGGTCTTGAATTATTCGCGGTCCAGTCCAGTGAAGATTAGTACGTAGAGACTTAAAAAAAATCTTGATAAAGTGTAAAATCGACATCCACGCGGGCGGAGCCGCGGTTGACCGCTAGTATATTTAAATAAAAACTAAGTACCTACAAGGAAATTCAAATTTGCAAAGTTCTGAAGCAAACTTATATTTCAGGTTATTAGGCAAAAATGCAGATGAACTCGTTGTTTCTAATCCAGACCCTGTTGTGGCTAGAAAAATTCAAATTAAACTAGATAAATGTATGGAAGGCAAAATCCCTCCACAACATATGGAACTTATGAATGGTAAATTTCATTATTCACTAACAATTTAGAAATGAGTGCTTATCCGTCGTGCTTATCATGTCAATCAAGTGCACACTTATGTATGCATTTACTTTACAGATGTCATTGAAGACGCAACAATGTACCTGGCTGTACATTTACTTGAACCTAGTAAGACGAGCCATTATAACATTAATTCGAAATTGATAGAGTAATTAATTTTTGTTTGATTCATTGATGCTTATGATGTGTTATGATTACAGAGGTGATCCAGGTTTGCAAGTGTTACAAGAACGTCTTCGTGCAGTGCGAGCTATGGTGTGACGAGATACTGCGACGCGTGACTCGGCCCTGCTGTACCTGCTCGCGACATGTATCGGTGCAGGCCTTGCAAGACCTCGCGCCCGGGGAGATCCTGTGCACCACACCAGGCAGTTCCCGCGTCTTCGCACCTGGCGTGGAAATATCCATCGCACCTTGTCCAAAAATGGCTAAACGCAAACGAAAAGATAGCCCCGCAGCAAGCCATACTGCTTCTCCCACATCTGACAACGAAAACCAAAATCCAATTACTTCCTACGTCATGTATTCCACTTCACACAAACGTTTTGGTTACGATTCCATGCAGGCATCAACGAGCTCTTGTGGTTCACCGTCTCGGACACCAATGTCTTTAAGTCCTTTGCAACTTTCGAAAAGACCTTCCCCGGTCAAAGCAATCTGGCAAGATATTCACACTGGAAATGTAAACTTTTATCAACAACAACAAGAACAAATGCAGGCGTACGAAGCTGAAAATAAGAAGCGACTACATGGCGATCATCAGCCATCAGTTTCTGAGTTCTCTTCAAGTAGCAACAATGAATTCGGGCAATCATCCAGATCAGAATCGCCAGTCAACACATGTCTCTCTCCACAACTTACTTCGCCGATGATAAGTAACATTCATATGTCTGACACGTCTAAAATCTGCTCGTCCTCCCGTGAGTAGCATAAATAATTAAGTGAATACTTACAATGTTCTAATCTATTCATATTATTTTATTAATTACTTAAATTGAATTTGGTAGGTACTCCAATTACATCGACTGATCAGATGGCTGACTGGCACGCCATGATGGTCAGTCTAATGTGGAACCTTCAAGCATGGCGTGATTGGATACAGGAAATTTTTGATCATGCCTTGACATACCACAATACTCCGAGCACAAGGGGTAATGTATTGACAACACTTTTATACTATTAATAAATTAATGGTATCCAAATAATAATATGAATTATTTTGACTTTTTTCCATTAAAATCCAGACACATGGTCATCATTTCAAAGACGGATTACGACTGAGGCCCTACAATGGCGTCAGTACAGTGTATTCTGTCATCAACTAACAACTCGTCTTCACACACGATACAAGGATAAAGAAGTAAGTTCAATTTACAATGGCGAAAAACATACTGAGAAAAATGACTTCTGTATTAATTTCAATCTTCTGTAACATTGTTGCCTTTTTTATTGGTACATGGTTTTGGAGCTTTGTGCGTCATGACCGGTGCCAATTTTTTTCTTTCTCTCTTGATATCGACCCACATAAATCTCACTAGGGAAAAATATCTTGTATCATACTTAGGGTCCAAAAGCTTCTCAGTATACCTTATACCTCTATTTTAGTTCTTGTCTCCGACGCGCCCCTCAGCTCAAACAAAGACTTATATAGCTTGTCAAGAAGAAATGTTGAAAATTATTGAAATGTTTAACAATTGGACAAAATGGCTGACGTTGGTGGTGAGTATTTCACTTCTCTACATAAACATGGTTTAAAACAAAATCTCATCTCTGTCCCTATATCCTTATGTATGCTTAAATCTTTAATACTATGCAGCGAATTTGATTGAAGAAGAATGTTTAATTATGTATAGTAACATCCGTTAAACAGTGGAGAAATTTAGTACCAGCATTGCACCCTTGCGAAGCCGAGCGGGTTGCTAGTGTTATCCTAATCCTTATAGGTGTAATGCATTTGCATAATTATTAAAAAATATTCTCCTAAACCAGATCAAAGAAACAAATAGATTGGATCAAATGTCTAGCAGTGACGTTCATTTACACCAAACGTAAGTACCACGATTTTCTTGTACCTACTTGACCATTAGATCACATGCATTATTTTATTTTATTATTTTAAATAAAACGTTGCCTCACACTAAGATTTTCTCCTTTAACTTAAGCGCGTCTACAAACATACAATTTCACATACACACAAAACAAGGGTATCTTAATGTTTTTTCTGTAAAATAGGCGCTGGGATCACTTGAAAAATAAACTGGATGGGTATGCCAAAGATTGGTCGAACTACAACTTGTTTTTGAAGGGATCCTGGGAGAAAAAGTATAGTTCTGTCATTGAAGGTATGTTTCTAAGAACATTGTAAGAACTACTTATCGACAGTTACAATTGAATTATGGACCTCCTCCACAAAAGAAGGGTTTGCTATTCTATTTTAAAAGAACCAGCTTTAAAAGAGAACGCTGTTCCAAGGTGTCTGTTAAATATGAAGGTCCTTAGTCAAGTATACGACTCCTGCGGGACAAGTGACTGTAATAAAAAATAATTGATTCTTCTCTGCTGTCATCAAACGTTTTTTGTGTGGGGTGTGTCATGAAATGGCATGGCGAAAGGGTGTGTCAGACTCTTACTGACTAAAAGCTACCTCGTTCCTTCTCCTGCTCCAGTCTAGGTCTCAGTATGTTATTGCGCGCCTGAAAGTCATCGGATGGCCATTGCATTTTTTTTTTAATTTTATTGTTCAATAGATTATCTGCCAGAATGGAAGAAACCAGATGCAGTGTGGGTGGTAAGCGCCTGCGGTGCTGTGCCCAGTGGGGCTGTCGCTGCGGGCGTGTTTGATGGAGAAGTTACCTGGGTCGCCAGGACCACACATAAGTATAAGACTATTTTAAAAAATATTTTAATTCTTGAAGACGATTTAATGAACCACTAGCGTCCGCCCGCGGCATCGCCCGCGTGGTATGTTGATAAAAAGCCTATGTCCTATTCCGGAGTGTATCCTATGCTTGTGCCAAAATTCATCCAGATCCGTCCAGCCGTTTTGGCGCGCTTGAGTAACAAACAACCCAACTTCGTATCTCTCGCATTTATAATGTTAGTAAGATTCTGTTCAATCTAGAATTCATGCTGCTATAACGAGATACCTTGAACCTATAGCTTAAACTAAAAACTTAATATAGATCATAACATGTTTCCAAAAGAAATATTGACTTCCACAGGTCTAAGGTGCTTCCAGCAGCGTTATACCCTTCAAAACACTGCTGCTTAGTTTACGCTGACGGCACAGTCCACAAATATACCAAATATCAGGTGAGTGGAACTTAATAAGTAAAGTTTTAGACCGATACGGTGTGTAACAAAACAGCACACTGTTACTTTCCTTAATAAACTTAAGTTTTCTAGCAGGTTAGACAGTCATTTCATTGGTCTATGCTGTATCTTAATTCGCTTCATTGCAATTTATCTACGTTTTTTGTAGATGCGTTTATAAACTTACCGATTCAGTCCAGCTATTCTGACAATCGCGTAATCATAAAATGAAAACCAATTTATAAAATTTTGGTTCAGGTAATGTGCAACGCAGAAGTTCGTTGGGTGGCATGGCGAGCTGGTGCAGTTGACGGACGGACAGTTAAAGTTGCACCGGGAGTATATGTAGGCAGAGTCCACTACCGCGGTAATCACCTTCTGGGAGCCGTGTACGAACCACACTATCGCTGCCACGTCGTCATCTTCGGAAGACCATTTGCTTTCAACTGCTATGAGCTTCTCATGCTCGCAAGAGATGAAGAGACATTCCTTTGAACAAGTAATTAAGTACAACAAGTTGGAGATACGCGATTAGGAATTTCAAATTGCAACGCGGAAAGCTCTTCCTTCTTTTTATTATATTTTTTTATTGAGAAATATCTTTGCAGTTATTTGGCAAACTATTGCCAATTTCTGTGCTAGCGCTGTAGGTTAAGGTTTTTAGAGATATGATTTTTGAAATTCAAATGGTTCTGATGTCATATCCTCGAGATTATTCGAACCAATATTTAAAAAGTAGTCTTCCAGAGAGCGTCGAAATGACGCTTCATTGGCTGGTTACATTTCGATCTTACCAAATCGTAAGAGTATTGTAAATGTCTTGAGTTTTATCTTTATCGCCAATTTGCTAGCGATATTTTTACGTTGTTTTTATACATATTTTGTTTGTTGAAATTATACATATTGTTTTTTTATATATCTTTTTATTGCATAGCACCTTTCCCTTATCTACACATATTTACACAATACATCATAATACTTTAACTGTCAGCACTTGCATCTTGATTGTCTTGAGCTACTTCGACTTTTTCTATTGTTCCTTTGGATCCGGACAGTCTCACTAAATCTCCAGTTTTAAATACATCTGTAGCATACGCTGCACCAACAATGCACGGCAAACCATATTCTCTGGCAATCACAGCACCTGAGAAGAGAAAGTAATTATTATTTTGGTAAACTTTTCGCTGACTGAATACATTAGTGGCAATTTGAGTTAGCAATGAATTCTTATTCTAAGTTAGGTACTTCATTTTATAGGTATGCTTTAAACAAAGACCCAACTCGTTAGTTCATAAACTACCCGGTTGGAGGCGTAAGTGACGTTAGTGAATAAACGAGACAATATTTAAAATTATTACTGCTGGCAACTGAAGCTATAAACGTAGATGTATTTAAACCAAACATAAACGATATCTTCCATGAAACACAGTCGGTAATTCGAATATTTGTTGTACGTTTTCTCTTGAATTTTGTTTTGTGCCACTATCGAATTCAGTTAGCGTTTTGGTTTCAATCTGTCAAAACGGCAATCGCATATCGGAGGCTGATATTTATATTAATGAATCAATTGATACAAACCATGTGATATAAGTCCGCCAAGTTCTGTGACGATGCCGGTCAGCAGCGGGAAGTAAGGCGACCAGCCGATGTCAGTTGCGTGTGTTATTAAAACGTCACCACGACGTAGTTGATCAATCTGTTTATAGAAAATAATTTTATTACCACATTGCAAACAAAGCTACAGCCAAGCCAAATGACATTACGAATAGTTATCTTGACCGTCTACTGACGGTTAAAATATTTATAGGAAAACCACAGACACCATAGATCTCCATACAATTCGCTTACCGATATCCGTTAGTTGCAAACCGTCAGTAAGTTGCACGACGAGACGTTTATTATAGGAACGGTTTTAGCTTACGAGTCGTATATAAAACTACTATTCGTAATTAAAACGGATCGTTTCTCAATTATAGGAACCGCGCGTAAATCCACAACAAATCAAGTCACCGCCAATAACTTAACATTCCATAACGTACATACGTAACATACTATATGCGAGTCAATATAATATTTCACCTCTGAAAGATCCTTGATGACACAAGCCCTGGCCACAACTTCACCTCCACAGACTGACGTGGCCTTTATTTTGACATCTCCAGCCATTAGATTGGGTGCTTTAGGCTCCAACTTATTAACCCACCCAACGTGTAGCTCTTCAAACTTCAGCTTACACCAACCTGGGTGATATTGCTGACGTAACATAGCTCTGAAAAAGTATGCATTACTTGTTAAGCTATCAATAGATAAGTATTTAATTGCTTAGTGTGAAGATAAAATAGCTTTTACCCACAGCCAACACACACGCTATATTTAATCAAACCGATCACACTTTTTTTATTTAGAGATTTTGATTAAAACAAATATATCATCCCTTTGTGATCAAGTGTGGAATTAATGTATGTGATCTGAAAAAGTGATGTATAAAATAGATTTAAAAGAATTTATATCAATATTTTCTTAAACTAATATTGCTCTAATGGAATATTGCGTTCAACGTATCTGCACAGGTGCATTTTCCATTACACGCTGCCCGCGCGCATTTTGCGGGAAGCTCGCAACCTGCAGATGTGGACACCACCTTTTAACAACGAAATATTCTTACTTTTTCAATAAAGCTGGATCTCTAGTAGCAAGGTATTTTTGTAGCTCATGTAGTCGGAAGAAGAACACGAGGTCCTCATTCGGTATGTACCACTTCTTGACCAACAAGCGACCTAGTCGCAGGAAAGCGAGTCGCACTTTGTGTATAACTAGCACCATGTGAGCCTTCGTGCCCTCTCTTTGCCGCACGGTACTGTGACACAGAGGTAGAACCCAGCGAAGAATTTTCCTAAAAAAACATTGAAATAAATTATGTCCTTGAATAATTACACAAACAGGAGCTGCATGTAAGGGTCGTCAATTCACACCGAGACGCGACGCGACGCGGTATAGCGTCTGCCGCGTCCGCCTTCGCCGCTAAGCACACCACACACAGAAATTAATACCTTGTCATGTGCAATATAAAGTTATGTTTTGAATCAATCTTTCAAAGTGTCACGCAACGTCGCGTCAACTCCTGCGGTGAACAGACCCTAAAGTGAAAATTGAAAACGAAACTTGTACATCAAAAGGCATACTTAGTGATTGACTGTTGAGGTATGGTCAAAGCATCTATTATCTCCTGAGTACTCTTAGTTTCCTTTACAGCTCCATCATTCAGAACGCGCAAGTTTTGGAGAACAACCATCATTTCTTCGGGGACTAACACCCAAGGCTTTGTTAGGATATCGAACTGAAAACAAGCAAAGTATAAATTGGCGAAGGTTCTTAACTTTAGTAAAATTAAGTCTAATAACTATTAGCTCGTATCTGTAGCCAGCCGTATAGATAATTCTAGTTTAAACAAGATAATAAAGACAGACTCTATGATACTATTTAAGTATTTTTTTACATACCTCCATAACAGCTCTGTACCCATGTTCTTCCAAAAATGCTCGAACATCAATATAAATATCATCATGAGCGTTGTTCTTCAACCATTGCAGAGCTGTCTTTGGATCCTGAGCTCTAAATTCATCAGCTAACCCTGACTTCTCCAACTTACGTACTATATTTGCTAAAGCAGTAGGCACTTCAGCAGAAAGCACATCTCCTGAGCTAAACATTGTGCTTATTTCACTGCAGACTTCAGAAGTAAAGTCTGAAACGAAATATTTATATGATGGTTTGAAAACCCTCCTCATTTTCACAAGGTTGAAAGATAAAGATAAAAGATGCAAGTTCTCATCATTATTTAAAACCGAAAAGAAAATAATTTTGGTATAGGTGCGACCCAGACCAAATTGGCAAATATTCTATTTCGGAAGCCTTGCATCTGGTCGCTTTATTCCTAAATTTTAAACTTACCCAATTTGCCCTCCATGAACACAGACATTGCTAAAATTTGGCTACTAGTACTAGCAGAGCTGGTGACACAGTGGTTGTATGCAACGCGTTGCATAGTATCGTGAGACTTCATTATAGCAGCCAATATTTCCTCCGGGTCCTCGCTATTAATTTCATAGTTTTGTTTACTTGCCTTTATGGAGTCATTCAGGGCTCGTTTTGAGGTGAATAATACCTGTAAAGTTGTATATCTTATTAACTAATATCGTGCTTAGAAAAACTTGCTAAAAATAAACTGAAAATTTATAAATTAATTCTAAAACCCAGACGACCTTATTACAAAACAAGGTTTTTCTTTAGACATAGTCACTCAAACTTAAGGGGTTGTCGGTGAAAACGGACTGTTTGCACCTTATAAACGCCGTAAATAGTCAAAGGCACTCCCTATTAGTTTAAAAATATCAAGAAAAGAAAAAAACTACATTTTACAGCAGTTTAAGAAGAAAAAAAGTATACCTTTAACATGAATAATATGCCTTCAAGACTTTGAGTTCTGTATGGAGGTCGCCTGTGACAAGCTGTCTTCAATATCTGCTGATCTGCTACGGTATGACCGTGTACTGCCATTTCGGACATGCGAATTGGCATATTAATTTCTTCAGTAACCCTTCTGTATAAGGTCTAAAAAATACAAAGGGTTAATCAACAGACATAAAACAAAAATGTATCTAGGCTGGCATTGCCATTATATCAATTGAATAATTTCTCCATAAACAAAAATATCAAGTGTAAACGAAACGCTAACTGTCCATCAATCCAAACAATTTACGAATATTAGTATTAATTAATTATTATTAATAAAAGAGATTTTTAAAATGTAGTGTAGTGTACAAAAGAAAATAATAAAGAGGTATTGAAGATGTTGTTCCAAGCGTGGGAGAGCTATGCCTTGGCACGAATGGGTCGGCTCGACCGGAGTAATACATCCTTTCCCTCCCCCAATCCCTCCCTAATCGCTAAATCTTCGAAAGGTCGGTAACGCACTCGTAACTCTTCCGTTGTTGCAAGTGTCGATGCTGATTGCTCACCATCAGGTAATCCCTCTGCTCAAAAGGATGGAATGGAAATTGGATGGAAAAGAAGAAGATTGGCATTTTGGCGTTAATAAATAAAATGAAATATAAAAAGAAGAAAATACTCACATTGTACAGTGACATAGTGCATCTGTTGTGAGTAAGGTATATGGTGTTGTCATAGCCGCTATCGTTAGCACCGACCATTTCATCCATACCCGCCACCAACACTTTACACACAATGTCGTAATTCATTGCAGATAACGGCTTTGGAAGGACCTATGAAGAGAAATTAGAATGAAATGTTCAGACATATTTAGAAGTTATCTTTTGACGGCATCAGTATCATTTATAATTAATATTTTAATTGTGGGAGAGCCATGCTTCGGCGCTCTATGGGTCTAAGGGGTCAGCTCGACCGGATTCGTAAGACGGAACACAGAAAACCAGCGTGAAACAACCACAGCGTTGTGTTTTCGCTATGTGAGTTAGATTACTGAAAGCCCAAACCTTTCGGCCTACCCCAATCTCTCCCCAAAAGGTCGGCAATGCACACGTCTGCATTCACATCTTATTTGTTGGTTGCTTACCAACAGATAATTCGTTATAATACATAATAAAAGAAACAAAAAATAAACTGCTCGATTAATTTCTTTACAATGTAGATAAAATGATTTCTCACCTCGCCGCAATTTCCGAAGGAGATCAGTTCATCGTCAGCCATAATCGCGGAATCCAGTTCATAGAGCAACTCTTCTTCTGTCCAACGGTCCAGGGAGGTGATGGGTCGCGCTTGTAAGAGGAATATCTCGTTCTAGGTAACAAAACAATGTTATGAGAATAAAATACATACTTTATAGAGTAATCTATATCTTCTTATACAGTGTGTCCAAGAACCTGGCGTCCAACTGGATTCCCACGATGTCCCAAGTTCTAACAGTACTCAGAAAAATATTTTAAAAAATCCACCCCATGTACTTACAGAATTATACTGATTTCAAAAAAAAAGGGGAAATGAGCACCCTGTGACATACTTTTGAATGCTGTGACTGCTAATGCTGATAATTTCGATATTTCTTGGATGTTTTGTAATCTAGGGTATTGCTGTGTCTAAATTACTTATTGTACCATTTTAAAATAAAATATTATTTTAACTAAAGGTGATATGGAAAACTATTGAATTCCGCAACTTTGACCGACTGTAGTGTAAAAAAAATGTACCAAAATAGTATGGCAAGTGACGTCAAATTTTGACGCGTTTATTCCTCTTTTTAAAAAGGTATAATACTTACACATTAATTTGAAAAAAAAAATTTTGATAATATTTTTACTCAACAACCCAATTTTTACGATGTCTTACAAAATTCTTAGAAAGAAAAATTTACGACGAATTGAATCTAACCTCTAAAGAATTACTATTGTATGCTCATAAAAATAACAACAGGCCTCTCAAAAAACAGGTTAGACCGTAAGGGACGGTATGTGCATGCATCACACCATAGTGATTCGTTATTACAACAGGAGGGAGCAAGACAGAAACTATCTTTGCGATTTGCTGGTTCTTCTTTATGGTACCCCATTATTCAGGTAAGAGTGAGGGAGAAAAAGGTTAGAGGTGCGAGTGAGATAGATAGTGACGCTATCTGGGATCGTGCTATTTAGGATAACAGTACGGTCAGTACGCGTCACTGCCTCCTGCCGTTACTACGCACCTCTCTCTTATTGTTACCATTGATCACGTACTACGATTTAAAGCTTTGTTTATTGGACTCGATTACTCTTTGTGCTCTGGACTTTGAAACGAACTCTTTACGACGACCTTTGCCTGTGTTTGGACAGTTTGTGTTTTGTGTGTGCTACCATGGCGACCTACACTCCGCAAGAATACGCAAATATGCACTACATTTATGGAGAATGTAGAGGTAATGGACGAGCTGCAGCGAGACTTTACAGAGAAAGGTATCCGAGGGCTACGCGATATCCCGACCATCGAGTTTTCATTAATGTGCACAGATCACTATGTGACGGGCGGTTCCCCAATCAAGTAGCTGGTGAAGGACGACCCGTAAATGACTTCATACGCGATGAAGTTTTAGAGGCGGTGTCGGCAAATCCAAGCATCTCTGTGCGAGGAATAGAAGCTGATACGGGGATACCGAAGAGCACAGCACACAGTATTCTCCAAAAAGAAGAATATCATCCGTACCACGTACAGCGAGTGCAAAGTCTTTTACCTCGAGACTATCCGAGCCGAGTCGCGTTTTGTGAAACAATCCTGCAAAAACATCGAGAAGACGAAAACTTTATCGACAAAATTTTGTGGTCAGATGAATCAACATTTAAGAAGGATGGCTACATGAACCTACACAACTTGCACGAGTGGCATGTGGAAAATCCGCACTTGATGCGAGAAGATAGATCCCAGTACCGGTTCAAAGTGAACATGTGGACCGGTATTCTCTGTGGGAATATTATTGGTCCATTTGAGATGCCCGAGAATTTGACTGGCGAATCATATTAAAATTTTCTTCAAAATGATTTGCCAAACTTACTAGAAGAGACCCCACCAGATATGTGGTACCAACACGACGGCTGTCCAGCACATTTTCGCGTATCCGTTAGAGAGTTTGGCGATTTGGATTGGGCGATCAGAATCAATCCCGTGGCCAGCCCGCTCACTGACTTAAATCCGCTGGCCGCTTTTTTTTTCTGGGGAACTATGAAGGAGCTCGTTTATGCGAAGCCCATTAATGACATCGCTGACCTTCGTGAGAAGATAACACAAGCAGTGCAGGTGATACGTCAAAAAAGTTACTCGCGAAACATAAAGCGGTCCTTTTTAAGGAGAGTGAGAGCTTGTATTGCCGCGGGTGGTCAACATTTTGAACAATTATTGTAATAAAATATCTTTAAACTAACATTCTTTGCTTTTATTCTACTGGGAACCCATCTACCTGTGTGTATTTCCTTCTTGCTCACTCTTGGAACCGAAGTAAATAATAGTAGTAATATAACAGTTTCTAAGATAAGAAAGGGTCCGACAGTTACCGTTAGTAGGTAGGCACTTCGTAAAAATTGGGTTGTTGAGTAAAAATATTATCAAAATTTTTTTTTTAAATTAACCTTTTTAAAAAGAGGAATAAACGCGTCAAAATTTGACGTCACTTGCCATACTATTTTGGTACATTTTTTTTACACTACAGTCGGTCAAAGTTGCGAAATTCAATAGTTTTCCATATCACCTTTAGTTAAAATAATATTTTATTTTAAAATGGTACAATAAGTACTTTATTTTTACATTCTATTTAGACACAGCAATACCCTAGATTACAAAACCTCCAAGAAATATCGAAATTATCAGCATTAGCAGTCACAGCATTCAAAAGTATGTCACAGGGTGCTCATTTCCCCTTTTTTTGCTAATTCTTTTTTTTGTTGTGTTTGTTATTGTAAGAAGACGGTTCTTATCAAAGAAAAATAAAAATATTAGAAAAGAAAAATATTAGAAAAGTAGAGGGGAAGATTAGGAAAAAGTGACCCTTGTGACGATATAGTTGGAACCGTGCGAAGCGGGGGCGGGCCGCTAGTAGGTATATAGAAAATGAATCGCAAAATGCGTTGGTAAGCACATAACTCAACAATACCTGGACCAATTTTGCCGATTCTTTTTTTGTTGTATTTATTATTGTCAGGAGAAGGTTCTTATCAAAGAAAATATTAGAAGAGTAGAGAGGCCAATTGAAAAAACTGGGCCTTTCGTTTTTTACAAGATAGTTGCACCCGTGCGAAGCGAGGGCGGACGGCTAGTAGAAGTCTAAATTAATTGGAATCTTACCTCTTTAACTGCCCATTCTATGTCTCTACCAGCGCCCCATAACTCTTCTTGAGATACTCCAATGCTTGCCAACTTTAAGGCTTCAGCATCCGTAATGCAAGCGACATTTCTCTCATCATCTGGCACATCCTCCATTTCGATTCCACTGCCCTCTGTTCTAACCCTCTTAATTTTGGACCCCAGATCCTTCTTCAAAATACTTAGATCCTTGCCTGTTCGCTTTACTATAATTGTATCTGGTTCCACGGCACCAGAAACCACGCTCTGTGTAGATATTTTTTTTTATCATTTTAGCAAATTCTGTTCGGCAAGACATACTTTTTAATTGTAGATATTAAATATGTAGTTAAAAAGTGAAGCTTTGTTTACCTCACCAAGTCCATAGTTAGCGGTAATGAGCAGTTTGGACGGGTCTCCATGAGCTGGGTGTCGCGTGAACATCACACCTGCCGCTCGTGGTGTCACTAGAGCTTGTACCACTACGCCACCTCCACACAGACAGGGCTGTCCATTCTGCCTGAAAAATAAACGTTTTATGGTTTTCGGTAGTCCTTCAAAAATTAACTACATAACCCAATACTTAGAAGAACCGTAGATCAGAAATAACCACATGACCAAAAAAATCATCACAAAATTACCTGCGATAGTAAGTACTGGTGAATGCAAACATTGACGCCCAGCATTTTTGAACTCCTTTTAAAATGTCATCGTCGCTAATGCAGCCAAGGATTGTTTCGTTTTGGCCAGCAGCAGACAACTCCTCGCTATCTTCTCCAACGGCTGCATAAAAATATTCCATGTTATTAAAAAAGTTCACTTAATCACTGTAACGATTCTTTCTGCAGTTACAAACGTACCTGACGAACGAACTGCAAAACGCAATTCTGACCCTAAATTCTGTTCTACAACCTTTTCTCTCAATTCTTTCATGCTTTTCAATATTTCATCTCTTATATCGTCCTTTATGGCAGTAGCAACGAGGAGATCTGAAGCTCTAAAAATAAAATGACGTTTAGTTTAATGTTTCTCCCCAATATCTAAGTATTATAACACCTAAGTAACAGACGTACTTTTGGCATTTTTCCTTAAATATAACTTCATTATAATGTTCATTTGCTGCTTCAATTTCATCTATAGCGGCCTTCAGTTCTGGGTGTAGTTTTAAATGTTTTTCCAAGGCTCGTGTAGTCAAACAGAATCCAGGTGGGACACGGTAACCCTGCAAAAAAGGCATATATACAAATTAACCGCACAAGCACTCCAATATGGTGCAATAAAATTGGGCGAATTGTACCTTTTCTTTTTGTACCGAAGCCAATAGAGCCAGAGAAGCACCTTTTCCTCCAACATACATAGGACAAGCAGCGGCACGATCTTCAAATGCCACACAATATCCAACCTCACCAGCTTGCTTCTCCGCCAACCACTTCAGCTGTCTTGGTGGTGCAATGCGAGAAGTCGGTTCTGATACAACTGGGAAACAAGATTAGGTTTGAAAATACAAGAAGCCAAGGGAAATTTATTTTTTCGCCACCACACATGGGGCTATCCAGGGCTGATAGTCAGCCAGGGTTGCAGGGCAAGCGAAATTAGTTACCGCGGCCTCGGCCTAAAGCAGGAGAAGGAATGAGGGAGTCCAACATTCCCTCTCGCGGCACCCTGAGCGGGAGAAGTTAATTGATGATTTTCCCGTCACAAAGAAAACGAGATTATTTTAATACAAAATAATCCATCACTTACCTGATGGTTCATATCCAAGTTGTAATATGCCTGTACCCGGTTCGCAGTTAATATTAACATGCATAGTGCGAAATACTTCTTCCTGTTGATAAGGAACTCCACTAAATACTTTCCCGCCATCTGTATTGATTCTTAGTACTATTTTGAGTTCACGATTCGAAGCTGGAACAGAAAAAAAAATCGTTGATCTTAGCCAAACTCCAACTTAATGACTAAAGCATTTAAAACGGTAGCTCGACTAAAATACGCAACATCAAGTTTAATTTACTTTAGCCTATAGCATTGAAGATCATTGTAGCTATCTATGAGTGAAAGAATTTTGGAAATTTGACCAGCGGCTCCAAACATTACTTTCAAAAGTACCTATTTCTGGTTTAGTTGGAATAAATGATTTTGATTTGATTTGATTTGATTACCTCTTTATAATAATATTAATAAAGAACACTACACCTGTCAACATGACAAATTTTGCACATTTCTTTCAAAATTAAATAATATTATTTTTTTTCCTCCATAAACTGATAACAATAGAAATTTAATCAAACATTTGTACAGAAAAATAGTTTAAATAGATTTTTGTGATTAAAATGAATCCACGAACCATATTAAATAAACATAAAAAACGGACAGTGACAGCCGTCGTCACAATCAAAACCAAGGAAAATATAATCACAATATAATGGAGTTAAGTGCAAAATGTTGACAAGATCGAAGGCAAGAGCACGAGGCGCATCCCCACCATCCCCGGATTCGTCGCTCAGCTCCGCCTCGCCATCGCCGGAAACCAGAACGACACGATCGCCGGTGGTAGCAGTTGCGTCGAGCTCGAGCGATGAATATCTCTCCCCGCTGGCGTCGCCGGTACCTGTACGTCGGCAGAGGAGAGGCCGGCCACCGATGGGCTTGGGAACCAGGGGCCAACGGGCTCCGGGACGGGCCCCCGCTGCCGGTGGTTGTGCGCGGCGCATGAAATGGTCTCAAGCCATTAATGAGAACGTCATGCGCGCATATTATGGTGCTACAGAGGGAGGAACTAACCTCACTGCGTACCGTGACAGGATGTTGTCTCTGTTTCAGGTGCTTGAGCCATCTGTCAACGTCTCCGCCCAGCGACTATCGGATCAGGTGCGTGTCATTCAACGCAGCCGCAGATTGGACGATGCTGCACTTGATCGGCTGCGCTTAGAAACACTACACAACCGTGTCGTCCTCACTTCTTCCCAGCCGGCGACACAAACACCTCCAGTGGAAAATGCCACACTCGCCACTCCTGGTGCTGCCGTGGAGGACGATAAGGTTGAACAAGTGAGTACTCAGTGCAATGAAATATTGAGGAACGCTTTGGAGGATGCGATACATGAGTATAGATTTGCTCCTAGTGAATTAAGACCCAGATTACCACGTTTGCCCATGTGTGGAAAAAATAGGGCGCTGGTGTGTGCCTTGGATTCGCTACTCGAAAATTATTTTGAAAGTAGCGAAAATCTCTATGATACACACTCGATCCTGTATTGTGGGGCGATAGCAGCTTGTCGAGTAGCTAACGTCAGATTCCCAAATCTTGACGCAGCAGTCCGACCGAAACCAGCTGCTCCTGCCTGGCAGTGCAGGATTGAGCGTCGTATCGATGAGGCCAGGGTACTCATCGGCAAACTAACCTGCTTCAGGGAGGGGAACAACCGCCCTAGAGTGATGCGCTTTGTAAGGCGTGCATTTGTGGGGACTGTAACTAGTCCTCATGAATACCTTACACGTGTTACAGAGCGCATCGACTTCCTGAAGCAGAAAATCTATGCATGGGCAAACCGTATTAGAAGATATAAAAAAAGGGTAGAGCGCTATACTCAGAATCGTATGTTCCAAAGTGATCAGAGGTGGGTGTACAGAGACTGGGAACGGTCCAGCCAAGATGTGGTTAACGGACAGCGTCCGGACGATGAAACTACCAACTCGTTTTGGCGCAACATCTGGTCGGTGCCTGTTAACCACACGGAGGCTGACTGGATGTGCGATGTTAAGCGGGAGTGTGAAACTTTACCAGAGATGGAGGAGGTAGTCATTACCTCCTCTGATGTAGCCAATGCAGCCTGTTCGGTCCCCAATTGGAAATCACCGGGGCCGGACGGACTGCACAACTTTTGGCTGAAATCATTTACCAGTTCACACGATCGCTTAGCGTCGCAGTTCCAGATGGCCTTAGAAGCTGGATCGTTGCCTCAGTTTCTGACTACAGGAATTACCCACCTGCTCCATAAATCGGGTAGTTACACTGAACCCAAAAATTATAGACCGATTACGTGTTTACCAACGGTCTATAAACTTTTTACATCCATTTTGAGAGCAAAAATTACAAAACATATAGAAAAAAATGCCATCATGTCTGTCTCTCAGAATGGATGTAGAAAGGGGTCACGTGGAACTAAGGAGCTACTCCTCATTGATATGGTCATTAGCCAGCAGGTTCGTCGATCCCGAAAGGATTTGTCTACATGCTGGATAGATTATAAAAAGGCTTATGACTCCGTACCACATACATGGCTTATGAGGGTGCTGGAGTTGTATAAAATTAATACAACTCTGCGCAACTTCTTACAGTCATGTATGAGGCAGTGGAGCACGGTGCTTTCCTACCCAGGATGTAAGCAAATCCAAAGGAGTGAAGAACCTGTAAGGATAGTGCGAGGAATATTCCAGGGTGATAGTCTGAGCCCACTATGGTTCTGCTTGGCCTTGAATCCTCTCAGTACTTTACTTGAGGCTTCAGGGCTGGGCTATCGTTTGCGGAGAAAAGGTCACGTTATTTCTCACTTACTTTACATGGATGACCTCAAGTTGTTTGCACCAAACAAGGAGGAGCTGATGGAACTACTAAAAATAACTAAAAATTTTAGTAGTTCCATCAGAATGGAGTTTGGTGTTGATAAGTGTGCGGTCATGCATGTAAAGCGAGGCGGGATAGTGGAATCTGAAAGTCTAGAGCTGTCAGATTTCACAAAACTGAGATCACTCTCCGCAAATGATACCTACAAGTATTTGGGTATGTCGGAAGGATTGGGTATTAATGGGCCGCACATGAGACAATCTTTACAGGAGCGCTTCTTTGGCCGCCTGAATAAGGTACTGAAAAGTTCGTTATCAGGCGGCAACAAGGTACGCGCCTTTAACGGTTGGGTCATGCCGGTCCTGATGTATTCTTTTGGCATACTCAAATGGACTCAGACTGAACTTGACATCCTGGATAGACGAGTCCGGACGCTGCTGACTGCAAATCGAATGCATCATCCTCGTTCATCAGTCATGAGGTTGTACATCCCGCGGAAGTGTGGGGGTCGAGGCTTTCTAAACGCTAAGACCCTTCACAACGGTGAGGTGTGCAATCTCAGGGAACATTTCCTGAAAGTGGACGAGGATATGCATCGAGAAGTAGTCACAGTGGACAAGGGATTCACACCACTATCCTTGGCTAAAGAGAACTGGTGCAAACCCGTAGTACTGAGCGTCAATGACCGCAAGGCGGTATGGAGTAGCAAGGAGCTCCACGGACGCTTCTTTCGGGCTCTCCACGGGCCCGATATAGATTTTCTAGCGTCCGTAGCTTGGCTACGATTCAGTAACCTCTTCGGAGAAACTGAAGGATTTGTATGTGCAATTATGGACGAAGTTATCCTCACGAATAACTACCGGAAATATATTATGAAGGATGGGACGGTTGACATATGTCGGGCATGTCATAGCTCCGGTGAATCCATCAGACATATTATTTCCGGCTGTGGTCGTTTGGCTAATGGCGAATACTTGCACAGACATAATCAGGTGGCCAAGATTATCCATCAGCAACTTGCTTTGAAATACCGGCTTGTTGAGTCTGAGGTCCCGTACTACAAGTATGTGCCCGACCCAGTTCTCGAAAAAGACCATATCACATTGTACTGGGATCGGTCTATCATCACAGACAGGACTATTGTAGCCAATAAGCCTGACATAGTGGTGGTAGACCGACTAGCGCGTCGCACGACGATAATCGATGTTGCCATTCCTCATGACGAGAACCTCGTGAAAGCTGAGAAAGATAAACAATTGAAATATCTTGACTTAGCTCACGAGGTTGTTGACATGTGGAATGTGGACTCGGCCATCGTTGTGCCGATAGTTGTGTCGGCAAACGGGTTAGTCCCCAAAAGCCTCGACAACCACCTTAAGAGGCTGACGTTAGGCGGATGGATCAAGGGCCTCATACAGAAGGCAGTCCTCCTTGAAACGGCACGTATTGTGAGGAGGTTCTTGTCTCTGGAGCCCTAACCGCCGGCAGCTTGGACCTTGCTCCCGCTGCCAGCTGGCTCCTACTTTTATATTTTTAAATATTATTTTATTTGATAAAAGGGGGGTGATGATCTGATCATGTACGCGGGGCAAACTTGGCCGGAGATCGCTCTAGATAGAGAAATTTGGAAGGAAAAAGGGGAGGCCTTTGCCCAGCAGTGGGACACACGATAGGCTATAAAAAAAAAAAAAAAAAAAAAAATATTTTATTTTATAGTAATATTTAAAAATGTAATTTTAGAGCGATTTTAATAAATATATGTATTAATAAAGATAAACTTACTGTTAACATTAATGGTGTACACATCAGGTATCACATCCGATCTTTCGCAGAAATCAGCCATCACGATATCAGTGTACGTGATTGGCTCGTGAGTAAAGTTCGGTAAACGAACACAGCCAGATATACAACTGTGAAATGAACATTTTCATGAAATAAAAAGATCTAACGATGGGTTGAAGTAGTAGCTAATTGAATGTCTTCATTATATTCATACAAATATCTTTAATAACCGCCAAACTTACTGAGTCAATTCATTTTTGTACGACAAGCAACGGATTTGCACAGTCGTTCCGTCTCTTGCCAACGCCATGATATCGACTGATCGTCTCAGCCCCTCATATCCACGTGGCGCCCATCTCCTTTCTTTTATTCCACGAGTTCTTAAAAATACACTCTTGTCCACAATTCCCTCTTTATCAAATGACTCGAAACGACCCTGGGCGGCTCCCCATTGAAACCAGCCTCCGTCTTCCATTTTGCTCCTGGAGAAGATAAACCAGAAATATCATAATTTGGAGAGCATATTAATTTACCCCTACTTTCTCATTGGATATGGGGCAAACTATTATGCAAATCGCGTATTAGCCAGTAATCACCATATGGGTTACAATTATCGGCATATTGAACTGAGTATAGATAGGGCTGGTTACTGGAGTAAAATTGAAAGTGATAAAATACCTCCTTTACTTTCGGAACTTTCGTGATTAACCCTTAATATACCTACGCGAGACACACACACATGTATACAAGAGGTTAATAAGTACTGATATTTAACTAAGTATATCGTCAAAGCTTTGTTATTTTTAAATTCGTTCGAAAATATTCACCCAACCCTAGGACCTCGATTGACGGTGGTAATGATTCCGACTTTTAATGGACTTACAACATGTACGGCCATTTGTCATCACGCCACGGTTCAAGGGCCAACGCTTCTGCTGCTAGCGCATTGCTCCATTCATCTGGATAGCGGATTGGCTTGGTAACTGAAGACCATCTGAAAAACAATAAATAGACTCATTACAAACATATTCCTGCGAAATTGCGTAATTTAAATTGTTGGAATTATTTAACGTGACCTAGAGAAAGTAATATCATTCGACATACTCCTCCCTCCCCCATTAGCATTATGACATATATGATACATTAACGCTCTGGCATCTTAATTGAATTGAACTCAATTGAATAGGAGTTGTAGTTAGATATCAGCTCGACCGACTTTGTGCAAACTTCAGGTTTGGATACGATAGCCCGTATTTGAGTTACAAAATTACATCGAAAAGTGGCATTGATTTTTTTATCTAAAAATTATAAAAAATGAAGTAGTGTCATACACGAGGTTAAGTTTCACATGCTGTGTGACACCGTCTCCAACCCTTGTCAGAAGTCCATTGTACAAGAATCGGTACCGGCTCTGCTCTTCAGTAACCTGAATTTTAAGGCCTTCGGCGCTCCAACCATCCTCAACGCCTTGCCATGCACAAACTGCTGTGTCTGGGTGTTCTGAAAACGTTACAGTTCAATCGATGTAGTTGTGGACAGTAGAGACTGTTGGTTGATGATCTAGGGGTGTGGGATCCATATGAGATCATTCATATGATTCACAAATTATTATTCCGAAATGTGGAAATGGTTGAAACCACTAGGTACGTGTTTGAAGATGTAAATACCTACACCCAACACACAGGACAAAACCTTTGTGGTTTTGTTTTCCTTTTTTTGAGTGTTCGTAATCCTTGAATGATATTTCTCGCCCAAGGCGGGGCACGAAGTCAGACTGACTAAAAGCCACCCCGTTCCTTCTGCCGCTGCAGGCCGAGGCCGCAGCAGCACCTAATTGTGCTTTACCAGCAACAAAAAATATTTGTTGTTGGAAGTATTTAAACAATAATATAGTATTACTAATAGTATTGACTTACGCGGTAACTTATAAATAGTTCCATCAGGTAACTGAACATGAACAACAATTTCGGCAAGTGGCTGTGGTCCACACAGCTTGCGTATAGACAGGAGTATCGCAGAGCCGTCGGGCGCGCACGTCCGCAGCGCGAAACTGTCCCATCCCGTGAACAGCTCAGGCAAAGGGACCTCGTGGAGCTTGGTGGGCTTCAGTTGTGACTTCCAACGGCGTACAGCATATCGTGCGAACAGAAGCCGCAGATAATAGTTCCAACCTTAACAAATACGTACTTAATTCAGAACAATATTATTTTATCGTTAGATGCAGTGTAGGTACATAGAGACCTTGTTTTGTGCGAAGTACCTATGTACTTATTCCATAAGCTATGGAGGTAATAATTAATTAGGTATGTACTCATAGGCCTGTAGGATATCTTAACAATGATGCACGTGATTGAAATTATAAATCACTCTGGTTGATAATACAATAAACTCTGCTAATTCCAAAGAGGAAAGCGCCAGAAAATAAACATACGTATTTACCACCGAACAATGCAGTCTAAAAAGACCTAAATAATTATAGGCTACAAAAGATTGCGATGTTTACAATGACGTAAACGTTAACGATTAAAATAAAAAATACAAACGGTGCTCTACCTTGGATTATAATATTAGATACCAACTTTATAAAACAAGTTTCATAGTTATGTACACAGCTAAAACTCGTCAATCGTCGACACGACGTCGACTAAACAGTGTGTTTAAAAATCTGACATTAGTCGGCCAAAGTTTTATTTATATCACAATATTGTGTCACAACCAAACCATTATCTAGGTATGCCACAGAAATACTTACCATGTGTATCTAGACGGATACAATAGTGTTTATAATATTGTTTTCATCTGTTTCTTGTACAATTGACATAAAAATGAATTGTCGTGTGAATTCGCTTGATACTAGGTCGATTTAATAGATATCTAGGCGCCTGTTCGCTGAGGTTCCCAGACAATTTACGTCCTAACTATGATTGATAGGATTGTTACCTAGTAACTCCCAAGATTCTGATAACAAACAGTAAGTACATGCATACCCGTTTAGAACATTTAAACAATAATATCTAATCAAATTAATTCGCTAATTATCTCATGTGACGAATTTAGTAAGCGCCTCGTACAATGTCCAATACTATAATTTAGAATGCATGTAATTAGCCGGATGTACCTACCTAGTATCTAGGATAAATAAAACGTTCTGTCAATAGTAATAACTTTTTGAATACCCATATATCTACGTATAATCACAAATCCATAAAAACATAATACGTTAAATACAGAAAAAACAAACAATATGAAGCTACGTAACTATATACTTATTGATTAAAATAAATAAAAATTCAAAAGATTAATACATACCAACTACTTTATAATTCCCTTTATTCGGTGTTTGTTTCTTAATAAATACCAGATAGAACACTATCGCACCGGTTATCAGTCCAGACTGTAAGAGCACATCGTACAGATCCATGTTCGTGTGCGATGAGCTATTCACATTGGTAAACAAATAATTACAAATGACGTTTGTTCAATGCCGGTCGGAGCACAGAGTTATGAAGACCTTGATAGAACGCGCGACCGGCTCTCAAGAGCACGAACCGTAGAATGTTACTGTTGACATCCATTTCATACAGATATCTCCCTAATCACTGATATACAAATTAATCTCGACTAAGTAACAATTGAACAGCTGCACTTGCTAGTTGAAGATAAAAATAGACGTCAAATTAATCCAATTATCGTAAAAAATTACATGTAAAGTAGCTATTGATAAATAATATTATATTAAGTAGTACCTAACACAGAACTAAAACGTGACTGTTTTATAATATTAGTTTGTGAAAAATTGGCATATTTAAACTATGTTCATGATCGATTTAGTCGCTGTAACTAATCTACATGTGGTATATAATATACCTACATATTATATTGAAAGTACAACATTACTATATTACTAATCAGTAGACTACGTACGTAAAAATCAGGTACGTTCTTGATAACTAATGTACGATATAATGTTTATCAGATAATATTGATAGACACCTGAATATGTTTCATTATCGATTGTCTACCCTTTATTTAATTTTTAAGGTCGTACGAAGTATAAAATAGTAAGTTCCCCTCTTACCATTTTTTAAAGCTTTTGGAGCGATAATTTCCATAATAACTTGCCTTAATTGCCTGGCTTGAGTGGAGATTCGCAAGAGTAGGAGTTGAAGGAGACTCGGGGGAAAGATGTATCGTGGATGTATCTCTATCAGTAAGGTGCTGGTAGGGGTCTTGTCTTGCTTCCGGGATTGCTCTGATAGCCGTGGGATGCCTGTCCTTACCCAAGCAGCTCAATGTATGTTGCCCCCGTATTGCTAAATGCCAGCGGCCGTATTCGGGGATCCATTAATTGAGTTTGCCAGTCACCCCCTGCCTGTTTATCCGTAGATATGTATCAATATTGGTCAGGAGCAGGGGCCATAGTATTTCCATAGTTATCATATCCACCAGTCCATAGCAACCCATACCCATAACCCATCACTTTTTACCACATTTTGCAGCAGTCCTGCATCAACCGGCGATTGTCCTTGGATGCACGTTCATAGTGCACACAGAGATAATTGCCGACTGATGTCCCATTTCACTTAAGTATATTAAAGTTGTTCAAAGGGCCACTGCGAGTTGGCTTCGGCCCCTCGTACGCCTTCCAATAGTCAAGGACCCTGTAGTCCCATGAGTGGAAAGGAACATACAATATAATAGGCAAATAAATGAGCTTAGTAAACCCTTATTCTTTTTTAAATACCTATTCAACAACGCACGTACCTATGGGTTGAAAAGAAAAAAACACTCCCTACTTTACGTATAGAGGGGTAACCTAATAAAATATTTTGTTCCACTTTTTATTTCACTACTTTGTCGGCATGATTGGTATTCGTACCTATTAGTGCCAAATTTCAGCATACCAGTGCTAACGCTCACTGAGATTATCCGCGAACGACAGACAGACAAGGCGAAACTTTAAGGGTTCCTGTTTTACTAAGGAACCCTAAAAACGTATTAAAACATTTCTTATTTAATATATCTACTATGTGGAACTATCTAAAAACTAAAATCAAATCAATGTATTCTCAATTAAATGAAATTAAGTTTTCTTGTAATACCTAAAATTTAAACTTAATTTAATATTTGACTTTGTTAAAGTCTTAATTTTGGGACGGTTCTTTACAATTCATTGACCTACATAAACTAATGTAGGTAGGTACATCTAGCTACTAGCATGAATGGATTTCACAATAAAACGGGATCCCAATCCCCAAGGTGATGCCATCGTCCATGAAAGGCGATTATATCTTTGTTTGCCTGTTTTGGATCCGGAGGAAGGAAATGCCCGGGTGTCGAGAAAAACCCGGAGGACACGGTGGTAGTGTGCCTTACTTGGGCTGAGCACCGAGACGTGTCCTCAGGGAAGTGATCGGCGGCGGCGAACTCTCGCGTCCGGCCTTAGTCGTGGCGGAAAAGCAAAGGTAGCTCGCCGCCCGACCAGAACCAGACCCAAGCGTATCGGTGCGTTGCGTTCCGTGCGCGTTTTGAAGAACCAACAATAGTCCACCACGGACGGGACCCTACAGGGCTCATGTTCAGCAGGGGTTGCTGGGCAAGCCCAATTAGCCACGGCCTCGGCCTAGACCAGGAGAAAGAATGGGGGTTTTTAGTCAAGTGGAGTCTGTCAGTCTATTTGATGATTTTCCCTCCTAGAAAAAACCCACCGATGGATTAACGACCTACTATGAATGGAGGTACATTTTTGAAAAGAAATCACATTGTATGCATATTATGAGTACTATCATACTTTAGTATACACTATAGTAAGAGAGCCCAAGAGGGGGAAGGATATCCAAAATATTATTATTAATATTTAACGCATCCAGTGCCCCCGACGCGTATGTGCGTTTCCTTACGCTACTCTGTGTGCCCTCGACGCATCTGTGCGTTCTATACATTAATGTATGTGTATATAAGTGTAACTTTTCTTTCAGAACTTGAGCGTGACAGTTATGAATAGTGAAGGTGCATACTCCATGCCTCTCTAAGAATAAAAAAAAATTAACCTGGCATTTTTTTATTAGCCTGTATTATCCCACTTCTTGGCAAAGGCCCCCCATCTGTCTTCCACACCTCCCGATCCTGCGACCGTGTCCACCAGTCTCAACGATAGGCGTCTAGATCGTCACGCCATCTTTTCCGGGACTACCCTGCCTGTAGCCGCCATCCTGAAGTGTCAACTGGGTGACAATAAACTCTCCGGATGCATTCGGCTGACATGTTCGGCCTACTCCTATTTTGAATCCCATCTGCCAAATTGCATAGTGTAAATAATTGACTGAAGAGATAAAAACCGGACACCTCAAAACTTTACCACTTATGTAAACCACGATAAAATCGGTAGATTTTTAGACACATATTGTAATAATATTTGTATTTAGTTATGCCCGTTCCCCTCCTAAATATTTACAACGTGTATAATAATGGTAAAGCAATCAACAGAATCAACAGTAGGTATATATTCCCCATTTGTGAATCTGACGCATTCGAGTAACTACTGAAATGCATTCATGGGCTCCTCTACTATGTGTTGTCTTTAACTTGGTTATCTCGTCATATGCCATTATGCCATTGTCTTTTATAATTATGCAGGTATAACCTCAATAAAATAATTGTAAATAAAGCAGACTTAGAGAGAGTTCAGCTTAACAAACACTGTTCTTTGTACTGTTTGTCTGTTTCTTCGTAATACTACCTAATCTCTTTACTTCACGTATTAAGTACGTACCTATATGAGTTATCGAGGCAATGGTGCGGAGCGAGAGGAACTGGGACGCCGTCTCCTTCTCGGCCCGCGTGAGGGAGCAATCCTCCTCCTCACGCCTCAGCCGCCGCAACAGGCGACACTACGGGCGTCGGGGATCAAGGGACGATGTCCGGCCACCGTAAGCGCGGGTCTGCGGTCGGCGAGTAAGGGTAGCTCGCCGCCCTACCAGAACCAGACCCAAGCGTACGGCGCGTAGCGCTTAGCGCGCGCCTTAAAGAGCCAATAGACCACCACAGACGGGGCCCTAAAGGGCTGATGTTCAGCAGGGGTTGCGGGGTAAGCGCAATGAGGCACCGCGACCTCGGCCCAGAGCAGGAGAAGGAACAGGGGGGTTTTTAGTCAGCAAGAGTCTGACACTCCCTCCGCCCGGCCCTGGGCGGGAGAAGTCATTTGATGATTTTCCCCTCACAAACAAAAAAAAACCTTTATGAGTTTACCAGTTACACATAACAATATTTAAAAACTGAACGATTCTTATGCCTTTGATAACTGATAAGCCTTAGTTACCAATCAGTTATTGCATCATAAAACATTGATAACTTATGCAACTTATAATAGGTAGAATTAAAATCTATATAAAATGAATCGCAAAAAATACCAACCTCTCCAATTTTTTTTATGTGTATGTAATTATGAGTAGAAGATTTTTATGAAAGAGAATTTTAGAAAAGTCTACATGAAAATTGGTTTTAGTAACCATTTCGTCGTTGAAGACCGAACGAAGTTGGTGTGCGAAACAAAGTCCGGCCGCTGGTATCATATCTTTTACCTTCCTTCGAAAACTATTATACACCTCACAATAATTATAAATAAAACAAAAAACTAATGTTTTTCGAACATCATTTAATAGCGCAGTATAATAATCACTCGCATCGGTAAATAATAAATTGATTTACTTTATAAATAAACAATAAATAATTATCCTAATCACATTATCCTATAACAACTATCGTTAAATAGTTCCCGAACAACAGCAATCGACAAAATAATCTTTATACTTTATGTACTAGTGCTAAAGTATACTTTATTCAAGGATGGTATTTTTATAACCAGTAAAATTCTATTTCAGTTCAATAAGATTCAGACAAAGAGAAAAATCGTCACTGTGGAAAAAAATATGAATACGTTTGCTACGATTACGTAACTATTTCAGGAAAACTGATAGGACTTTAATCGCCAGTGGCGCCATCTACTATGCGCAAAAATGCGACCAACTATAAGTAAGTATGTCTTAGTTAATGATAACAAAAAATTGAATGAATAATAAAAAGTTGGAACTGAAAACGAATTCTACTGGTTATGTTAGAAGATTGCTTCAATAATCTTTAGGTATATTTCATTGCAGGCATTAGCATAAGTATATGTTTGTGTACAAAAATACACTATTCACCAAAATAAGCTTTCTTTAAAAAATGCATTGTAATGGTTATAGTACTACTAATAACTACCAACACACTCGCTACCTCGTAAGTAGAGAATGAAATCCACGTTAAAAAGAACATGATTGCCAAAGAATGTATACCTAGAAAATATTGCATACTTATAATATCAGCTGTAGTATTACTAAAACTAACTTAAAGCTCTCGCAGACTGTATGCATCTATGCATATGAGTATACGTAAGCGTAGAGAGCTACCGAATTGTGTTTTTTGATTTTTGTGATAGGACAGCATGTGAGAAGACGGATTACCTGATGGTAAGTAACCAGCGCCACCCACGGGCACCTGCTACAACATAGGAGTTATTATATTAAAGATTTGGAGGTTTAGGAATTGGGGTGGGAATAGGTGAGGGCAAGGATTGGGTTTCTGGTAGCCTCACTCACACGGCAAAACACAAACGCTGTGGTTATTTCTCGCCGGTTTTCTGTGAGGCCGTGGTATCAATCTGGTCGAGCAATTAGTGCCGAAGCAAGACTCTTCCACACATATTATATATAAAATCGTATGAGACAGGACGCTGAAGTAATTTAGACGTGTCCATCGATGTATAAATTCCCTACATTTCAACTCGACAGTGTACACGACTGCGCAGACGCACCCAGTCTGCTGAAGCCTTCAACAAAATCAAGACATGTTTATCTATATTTCCCAATCAAATATAAACAATTTTACTACACAACTATATTAATATAAAGCTAAAATATTGTGATGATGAGAAAGTAATACAGTACAATATCTAATTGTCAAATTATCAGTCAAGAGGCAAAAGAAGGTTATATTCATAACTAAACTAAACAGAGAAATTTCAACCTTATTTGAAAGTGACAAGTAACAATTTTTAAACGCTTCCGTCACAGTATGAAGTTTGTCTATATACTGTGACGGATGCGAAATAGCAGTCATAACGACAGAAATCAGTCATCAAAATGTTAATTCCTTAGATTTTAAACCTTATCCTTTTGTCATAAAAATCAAAACCTATTTAATTAAAATGTGTTTGTAAGACAACGAAGGAGCGAGTGTTTGATTTAAGTTTTAAATTCTGCTAATAAATTTTCTTTGCTACAATTCTTTAGCTAACCCTTTATACACATACACACACAGTCTAAACATTTATATTTAAGTTCGTACACATTTAAATATACAACAAATAATAATAACAATTATTGTCTTTTAAATCATAGTAAACTTATTTTTATACTCATTGTAAAAGTGGTAGGGCCTGTTTCATCACCTACATCTGTGTACTACATAAACTAAGTGACACAGTTCATACAAATTTGAGTTCCAAATTTAAACTTGTCTACTATGTAGGGGTTATCCAGGCTTTATGAAACAGACCCTCAGACTTGTCGTATGATGTTAAGATTAGGAACGAACCGTAGTTTGATAAAATATTAGCTTTACACAATTAAGTAGTCAAGTACCTTTTTTTGGTTGTAATCCTCGATAGAAAATAATTTTAATGTGAATTGAAAGTATTGAAACAACATTTTAATTTCCTAAACAATTTTCATCAAATGCCAATATACATAGTCCACCTAAAATTATAACAATTTTGCGACACATAGAGTATTAATTCATAGACAAAATTAAGAGTAACAATAGGTAATCCCACCAATTTCTATTTTTCTTTTATTATTTATTATTAATTGACCTTTTGTTACATAAAACCCCATTATTTTACAACCAGCAATTTCTTTTCAGATGTTACAATAAATTTTCAACAAAGAAAAACACGTAATATAATATGCACAGATATTTGATACATTGACATTCACTGTCATCCTGTAGACGTTGCATACCCTGAATAATAATAAATAAATTCAATTTCATTCACAAAAATCACTACCTAAGAAAAAATGCAATAATCACAAAATAATCCAAATATACATACAATACACAAAACATTCGATACGACATAATTTCATTGTTTACGATAGCGTCTATCACAAATCTATACTAATAATCGAATAAATTAAATTTAAAAAAAATGCTGAGACAGAAGATCTCTTTTAATCCTCAAAAGATTAGTTATTGGTCTTATTAAATATTTAGTTAAGAATGCACGAAGATATTTTTCAAACGGTTGGCACTTTGGCAGTGGCAAAGTGGATGTCATTTTCAATTTTCCAATCCCCTCCACTAGGATACAGCTGAAAGGATACTCGGGAACTGTGTGACGGTAAAGACGTTTACTGCCTTACTGCAGCATGAATGGCAGACAACACAAAGCTCTAACTATGGCGCGTAAAAAGCTGTATAACAACAGTTTAACGTTCCCACAATAAAGAATAAATTCGCATATTGAAAACGCCCTCGTTAAACGTACACGTACTTAAAGAATTTTGTTTTTTTTATCTTGGACCTTATATCGACGGTAAATGTAATGGTAAATAAATTATATATTTTAATTTAAGAGGCATATTTTGCCGTTGTAGGCATACATTATGACTTATGCTAATATCTTTTTCGACTTCGGTGACCATTGTATTAAAAATAAAACATAATATGTTTTTACTCTAAAGTTAAAAAAATCCCAATAATCATTCTAGGTACTGAGCAAGAAGTAGTTCCAACTGCCATCATTGACTATTTAAGAGTGCTAACTATAGTTCGTTCCATAATTAGAGACAACAATTTGACAACAGCAAATGTCAAACTACAAAATAATGTGGCCAGATTTTATAACATAGTAATGGGCCCGAGTACGATGTTTTAAATAAAATACCGATACCGTTTTTTATAAAATACCCTTAGCAAAATAAAACAACGTTGCGGTGATGTTTTTTATAGTTTAGTCGAATTAATTAATAATAATAATTTAAAATAAAAATGCGAAATTCAAGACTGGCTAAAAGAAAAACATTATATTTGAGGAACCTATGCTGAAAGCCGAGCTGTTGGAGATTTCCCGGAAAGAGAAGAGTAATTATGAATGATACGTCGTGGACTGATGGCTGCTAAAAGGGGGGTCACTATTTTACTGTTGCCTCCTTACCATTGTGATTTTAACCCGACTGTGTTAGTATGAGCACAGTAAGGTACCAGGGAAAGTACCTAAAAATAATAAAGCTTTTAAAATGCACGAAGTCCATAATTTAATTTCGGTCTTTCGGTCAATACCGGTCGCGGCACTTCACTATTTATGAAATGGAAAAAACTTGCAACACTCGAAATGTCAAATCGTTGTCTCTAATTATGGAACGAACTATAAATAAACTTATTTTTTGTAAACCATGAACACAATATACATTTAATTTAATTTAATATTTTTAATAAATTATGTGTCTACCAATTCTCACGTTTTAACAAGTAAAATAAAATTAGTTTTTGTAGTATTTATGGATTCTATAAATACTATATATAATTCCTAAAGTTCATCACTCAATATCCTCTCAAATCAAACCTATGTATGTGAAATGGTTAGGCAGTGTATACCTATATCATTTCTCCTATTATAGTGGTCAAACAAGTTAATAATAATAATGATGTTGGCCAGTAGCGACCCCACGGACCTGACTCCCGGGAGGTGTCTTGTCCATCTGCGATTAGTCCTCGTTTGGAATGAACACTGATGAGGAACAAGCCCTCCTACCTCAATCTTGCCTTATTGGCTGGCTTGAGTGGAGATCCGCAAAAGTAGGAGTTGAAGAAGACTCGGGGGAAGGATGTATCTCAGTAAGGTGCTGATAGGGGTCTTGACCCTACTTCCGGGATTGCTCTGATAGCCGTGGGATGCCTCTCCTTCCCCAAACAGATCAACGTATGTTGCCCCCGAGTCGCTACATGCTAGCGGCCGTTTCCGGGGGCCCATTAATTGAGTTTGCCAGTCACCTCCTGCCTGATTATCCGTATGTATCAATATTGGTCAGGGGCATGGGCCAAAGTATTTCCATAGTTATCATATCCACCAGTCCATAGCAAACCATACCCATAAAACCCTTTCAATTACCACAATTCGCAATAGTCCTGCATCAATCGGGGATCATCCTTGGGTGCGCTTTCATAGTTCATACAGGTATAATTGCCGGCTGATGTGCCATTTCACTTATATTTAAGTTGTTCAGCGGGCAAACAACGGAAAAGAACAAACATAGGTAATTATAATAACAGTAAAATCATAAGTTTTCCTAAATAAACGTAGTAATTAACACAGTCTAGAATGCAAATATTATTTTAGACATTAACACCCACATAGAAAAATTCTTTCATAATCCAGTCGTAGCGCTAAATCAAATAGCACCGTAAAACAGCCTCTATAAGGTACTATAGAAAGTTCATAATGCTTTGTTACCCTACTCTTCTTTCTGTTTTATTGGCTCCAACTCCTCAGGGTTCTCGTCCATACTAGACGCAGTGTCTGTGCGGGACTTGTCCACAGGGTACAACCTGGAATTAATTAAAATCATATTTAAAACAACTCTTAATCACTCTTTATCTACTCTCAAACAATAGGGATGATGGCAGGGTGTGAAAATAAAAATTGCATTTACTCTAGCAACTATTTACTACCAATGAAAAAATATTATGTTGTATTAACCTAATAAAACAAAATATTACGTTTTATTAAGTTTAGAAGTGAGATCAATATGCATACGTATCGTCTTAAGCATTAAGTGACGTAGAAAATTAAATGCGTATCTAATAGTGTTTTGAAAGAGACAATTACTCGATTACAATAAAAATTAGACATCATCGCTATCAAGACACAAACGCCATCTATGTTTAAAGAGTGAATAAAACCACATTTACGTTGTGTTTCGCCTTGTGGGTAAGGTTACTGGAGGTCCAATTTTCCTCTCCCCTCCCCCACGCACCATCCTCAATCCCCTAATCCCCTATCCTTAAGCCCCTTATAATCCACAAAAGGCCGGCAACGCAATTATAGTAACTCCTTTGATATTACGAGTGTCCATGGGCAGCGCTGATTGGTTAGCACCAGGTAAAGTCTGTTAGTTTGCCGACCTGACATTTTTTTTTTTTTTTTAAACTTTGCCCCACATTCGGATTTTCTCCTGTGTTGTGGGTGCTGTTACAAACATACAATTTCACATACACAAGACACCCAGACCCGGAACAACTTTGTGGATCACACAAAGAGTTGTTCCGTGCGGGAATCGAACCCGCGACACGTTGCACGGCAGCCAGTTGCCCAGCCACCGCATCAACCGTGACATAAAGAAAATCCAAAACAAATATTTTGCCAAAGACCATAAGCTCTATAAGAATAATTTAAATTTTAGTACAAATAAACTCACCATCTTTGATACAAATAAACTAGGAAGACGAGATCATCTCGGAAGCAGGCGACGCGGTGTGCTGTGGGCATGGTTATGATGAAGGCGAAGATATCGTCTATGAAGGTGTTGAACGCTTTGTACATGAAGGCACGCCATGGTAATGCTGCCACAGACCGCAGTCGGTAGTTCACGAACAGCTGAGGTAACATGAACAGGAAACCGAACGCGTATACACCGTTCACTATACTGTGCAACGCCCAAGAGTACCAACTGAAAATTAAAAGTATAAAGTTATGCTGCTGTTATATAATTACATAAATCTACTATTAATTAAATTTACTTCAAAAGAGAATAAGTAGGTAATGTATAATAATTTTGATCCTACAGACAAACTAACCCTCAGTTTCCGAAAGGCCGATCAATGTTAAAATCAATTTAATCTCTTGTCAAGTCATCTGATTGGTTGACTGAATTATCAACAACCAATCAGATGACTTGACAAGAGATTTAACAGTAGATTAGTTAATTTTAGCGTTGGCAAGCCTTTCAGAAACCGGGTGTAAGTGTTTAGTTTTGTTGTATATTATAAAATTTCATTAACGTCCGTGGGATAACGGTCTAAAAAATACGAAAAATGTAGGCGCCATCAGAGATATCATTGTGAAAATCGAAGTGGAAGAGAAAGTGTTAAAATGTACCTTATAGGTTATTAATAAATGTAATTTTAATAAGTAAACGAGAGAATTAAGTCGTTATGTCTGACACATTATTTTATAATCTTAGCGTTGAAATGTATATCCAAGTAATCTAAACAGCTTCTATTTTGACATAAAGTACAAACCTATCTGATAGCAACTTTTACCTCTTGTGTGGCTCGTAAACCAACGAGTATATGGCTCCGGCGATGCAGAGCGGGTACAGCAACATAGACAAATATTTCATGGCTTCAGCATCAGCTTTGGCCGTGCTTTTCTCTCCCGCGTCAGCGCTCGAGTCCCTCCATACACGTAACCTCCATCCAGAGAATGACACCCGCAAGTGTAAGACTTTTGTCACCTTCCATAACTGCAAAGAACATTGTGTTCATGATAGTTATTTTCTCTATATATGTATAAAAATGTTTTTATAATAACTATCGTGAGACATACTAAATTAACTAAAAATCGCGGGTTACTCACGGGTAAATATTGAGAAAAGCTCTACTAGTTTCGAACCACAGAGGGGTTCTTCCTCATGAGCAGCGTGCGCGGACGCGGCGACGTCGCGCAGCCTACTGAGAGCTAGAGCTTTTCTCAATATATACACGTGAGTAACCCGCGATTTTTAGTTAATTTAGTATAAAAATGTGTTACTAAGAGCAAATCTCGAGAACAGTTGCAGCAATATAGCAAATTCTTTATTTTTATTATTGTTGTGGTTATTAATGTCCGGATGTTAATATGAAAGAAAACTTAAACCAAAGTCAAAAGTCAAAATCATCTATTTCAATAAGACCCTTACAGGCTCTTTTGACCGTCGTTTTAAAAATATAGTGTGTCTGTCGGTGACGCCTTTTAGTGAAGCTATTTGTCATAACTTAAGTGAAAATCGAGAAATAACCGTCACTAAAGTATTTGGGCACCCGTGCGAAGGAGAAGCGGGCCGCTAGTAAGGTTAATAAAGGTGTCCTTAATAGGTGTTCATAATAAATAGTCAGATCTCGTCTAAAGTTTCAGAATAAAATGACAATCTCTATAATCACAATTAAGCAGGGCAATGTGACCGACATTCGAAAGTTATCAAGCGAGATATTTACACACATTATTTACAGTTATCTAAGTTAATCTTTATCTACATATATTGTCAGCTATGATTACCTCAATGATAGCACTTATTCCAGCCGGTATGAGAACTAGAAGCGAGGTCATCTCATCCAATAAATAGAAAAATATAACGAGTTGCGAGAATGCTCTCCACAGCACAGTGCGAGCGGACAGCCCCGCCAGAGAGCGCTTGCGGCGCCAAAACGATACGTCATTCTTAAAAGCCAAGAAGTCAAACAGTAGCTGAAAAAAACATTAAGATATTAATTAAAATCACAAAAAAAATTAATAGAATTAAACATGACACATATTAAATACCTAAGAACATTCAGAGCAACCTAGGTAAACACTAAACACTCAACTAATGGGACATTTATAAGAATATATTCCTTTTATAAAAAAAAAAATAAGATAATACAAATAATAATACAATAATGGTTAGTCTGAAGACTGCTGACTGCAAATGGCAATACCGTGAGGTTCACGGTACCTATCAGGTGCAATCACACATTTCCTGAATGTGGACGAGGGTAGGTATCGAGAAACTCGACTACTGAGTGTCAAAGACAGCAAGGAACCACTCGGACCCTTTTTCCGAGCTGCTCACGTTCCGATGTAATTTCCTGGCGTCCGTATCTACGCTACTGTTCAGAAATCTCTTCGGAAAAACTGAAGAATTTGTCAGTGCAATTTTGGGCGCTTGTCAGTGCCATTTTAGGCGCATTTAGCCTTACGAATAACTACCAGAAAAATATTGTTAACGACGGGACGGTTGACATGGTGGACATGTTATAGCCCTAATGTCCATCATCCATATTTTTCCGGTTCCCCTTGTCTAATACTGAATACTTGCACAGGCATTCAAGTGGCCAAGATTATTCATCAGCAAATTGCTTTACACTGGTTGTTGCCAACCAGTTCTACTAAATGATCATATCACATTATACTGGTATCAGTCTATCATCACTGACCAGACTATTATAGCCAATAAGCCTGACAGAGTGGTGATAGACCGAATAGCGCGTTGCACGATTATAATCGATGCTGCTATTCCTCAAGACGAGAACCTCGTGAAAAGGGTGAAAGATAAACAATAAAAATATCCTGACTTTGCTCACGAGGCTGTCGACATGTGGAGGGTGGACTCAGATATCAATTTTGTCGATAGTTGTTTCAGCCAATGGATAAGTCTCCAAAAGCCTCGACAGCCACCTTAAGAGGCTAGTGTCTGGTGGATTGGTCAAAGGCCTCATATAGCAGGCAATCCTCCACATGAAATGGCATGTATTGTGAGGAGGTTAATGACTCTGAAGTCCTAACAACCTTTGGCTTGGACCATGTTCCTCCTGCCAGTGGGCTCTTATTTTATTATTATAGTAATATTTAAAAGGAAATTTTAGAGTAGTTTAAATAAATATGTGTATAGAAATAAAACTTACATGGCAACTAGCAATCAACACAGTTGCTGACAACAAATACAAATTAGTATCTGCAAATATTCCTTTAACATCATCCACATCTTTCTCACTAAACCCAAGCGCAAATAACTGTTCCAATGCTAAGCGGACATGCAGAGACAACCGCAAGGAACCATATGAAGTGGGAGCCACATTCACTGTTATATTTACTTCTGTAGAACTACTGTTTAATAGTTGGAAATGTGATAGCCTTGACTTCAAAACATTGTGTTGTAATATCGGTAAGAATTTACCACTCCGTACCCTGAAAAAGTAAGGATATAAATTAGATTTAATATTTTAGTATACAAGAATATTGGAAGATATTTGACTAAAGCTGTTTTGCAGAATTACATACCTATTATAATAAGTCAAATTTATGATATTGTTTGGCTACTGCCATATTGTAAATCAAATCATTAGTAATTAAAGTAAAATCTTCTTTACTGTTATCAACAAATAAACAGACAAGTTCATTGAATTTTTATATTAAACATGATGCATAACAGCATCTATATTATTAAAAATGACCCCAAAAACCTAGGTGATCATTTTACTAAATTAGCCACTATTAACTTACCAGACTCAGACTGGTATTACTGGTACTTTCCTGGCCAATAATATAAATCTGAGACGCAGTGACCTGGTTGCCACATACAATTCCAAACCAATAAAAATCTATTAAATTTTTATAGTAAAAATTATGATTAAAGTAGCAAAATATTTTTTTACCTTATGTAAGGATATAACTCTCCAGGTATTTTATTACTGGGCAACTTGAGATCATCAGTAAGAATAGACAGTGGAGCCACTGTTGTTATATGAGCATACGGACGAACTGATTTCTTTTCTGGCACTTTTTGTCCCTCATTCTGTAGGAAAAACAAATGTTATTTGCTTCTACTCTAACAAATTAGATTTATGTTTTTTAATGCTGAAAATACAGAATGTAAAAAAAAACAGTTATACTTGTTGATATATTAAGTAGCCCATAAAGGCATTATGGGCCACTCAATATATCAATAATGTGGCTAAGGTTCTTACAGAGTCTGATAGTAGGTTTTTTCTTTAATAAAACAGTATGTGAAGCAATGTCCATAGACTGTTAAGAAAATAAATAGACCATAACTAATACACATGGTTGAGTGCAATTTCATAAATAACTCACATTTTGCTGAAGAAGATTAAAAGTCGCTGCTTGAGGTTCTGTATGTGTAACCAAGGGTAGTGTGTGTATAGACTCAGTACGAACAATCTCGTCAAACTCTCTGTACAAGCGGCTGTCGTCCAACAAAACAGCATGCATGAACAATGTGCCATTATTGCGAGTCTTTCGCGGCACTTTCAACCTTATGTCGCTGAAAAATAAACCACAGTAAGACACCTCCGAGAAATAATATAGTTATTATCTTACACCTATCAGAATCAATTACGAAGTACACTTACAAAGTCGCCGGATTTAAATAGTCAAACTTGAGAGAAGTATGCACTTTTGAAACACTATCCGCTGTTGAACCTTCTAGGTGCGGATGTTCTTTCACAGAAGTATATAAAACAAGATGCTGCACAGGTTTTGAAGCTAAATACGATGAAAAACATCTCTCGCCACGACTACATTCTGGCGGTATGAATATTTCGGCTAACGTCCATATAGTATTAACAACATATACAGCAAAAATTAAAGACAATATTAAACTAACAGATATATATTTCATTACGAACAATTGTTCACTACTTGTAATAAAATAAAATAATAATGAATTCGTAAAATGTCACGAATGTGCACACACTCAACAGAAGACAATCTGAATCTGACACTAGATCTGTCAATAGTGTCAGTTCAAAACAAAGGTGATTCTGTCTCTGCCAAAGACCTTGTACTTAAAACGTTTAGAGTATAACTAACTTGAGTATAAGGTCTTTGGTCTCTGCTCTTCGCTACCAGAATCTACAATATCGCTATTCTTTTCGAATAAGCTAGTGTGTTCCCTTCACTTGTTGTCAGTGTCATAGCAGGAACTTTGCTAAAGCGAACACATGATATTCGACTAATTGTTTTAGTAACTTTCATCGTATATTCACGTAGATTTACGAAATATATTTCTGGTGGGTTGAAGTGAAATATCAAATCTATTTTGATCAATTACATTATTTGATTGAAAAAGAAAACATTAAAGTTAGTAATCGAAATGTTATTTTATATCAATTTTACAAACACTGTCAATGCGCGTTACGGAACGAAACTCTCTTGTATTTTATGCATTTTTTGTTTTGGTAACATCATAACTCATGGACGACTTCAAAACGTAATAAATCGGTGTTTCCTTGGAAATAATATTGATGTTTCACAAATTTAGAAGAATTACCAAAGGTATATTTAATCATTTTAGTTAAGGATTATAAAAGATGTTACGCTATACGTACCAAATAAATGGGGCCTATGTGGCATATTGTTTTGACAGTTGTCATTTTATCTATCTGATATTTTGTTTATATTTCAGAATGGAAATGGTTTTGTGCCACCTCTGGTTATTGAGTTATTGCAAGGAGTCCAAACTTATCCTGTGCTAAAAAATGAAAACACCGAGTACGAATATGTACCCAAGCTACTGTGGCAATGGATGCTAAAGACTTGAGGACCGAGTCTGGTGTGACTGAACGCAATAATGACGGCAGCAAGTACAGTCAAAGCAGCGGCATCGCGCTCCATTGTGACAGAAATAAGTCGTATCAAGATATCGGATCTAACTCATTGGGTAAAGTGGAGGCACAGAACGCGCGGCCATGCGCCGTCATCGGGCCCGACCGAATCGTGCCTCCGCCAGCCGTCAGCGACGCGTATCACATAAAGAAAGGTCCTACCGAGCCATGGCCATGCATGGACAGCTCGTACCGACGTCTACCAGAATACCCCCATAAGTTAACGAATTTCCAGAATCCAACAAGAAACATATCACCGAGACAAACATTCCAAGAAAACATGCAGCGTATTATGGTGCCACCCACATACAACTCAATCAAAATAAATGATGACACCAACTATGCTCAAATATCAGATAGAAACAACAGTGTACCTAAGAATATCAAATTAAACATGCCGCCAGAGGCAAAGTTCTGTGATGTGCCTTATGCTGTTAATCCTTCTAATAATGAACTTAAAAATGTTAGGAACTCTGAAATGTGTCTACCTAGTGTGAATCCCACTGTTACACGGACTGCTCCCCATGGATGGCCAGCAGGTAGTGTTAATTTGCGATCCACTAGGATGTATAGTGCTCCTGAACTGTACCAATATCAAGAATACCCTAGCTGTGCTGGCCCTCGACCAGTAGTGCCTAGACCTTATAGGACTGTTCCAGAAGAACAGGGCTATGTGTATGCTGACCCTTACTATCAAGATGGAAATATTCGCTTCAAGCCTTATCCAAGCGTGAAGGAAAGATATCCCCAGCAAAGGTATGAGTACATTGGTAATTATTCTAATCCATTCCATCCACCACCTGGTTTCCCAGCTCATAAATATGAGTTACAGAAGTCTATACCGCCACATCCTTATCCTCCATATCCTCCAATCAAGTATTTGGATAGCAGAGTAGCTGAACCGGTCATGGAAGGATATCAAAGAAATCCCCAAGGTAACTACAACATCCAATACCGTAATCAAGTAATCCATCCTAATTATGGACCTGTAATAAGTAACTGTCCCCAAAATAAAATGCATTCATACCCACCTGATGCTAATATGAAAAGTATACCGCCAAACAAAATACCTTATGACAACAGTACTAAAGCGTATATAGAATATGATAATAATAGACCCAAAGTGCATCCCTCAACTGAAAGCTATTTTGTCAATGAAATGACTAGGATGCCCATGAAGAGCCAAGTCATAATGCCTAATTATACTACAGTAAATGTGCATAACTTACCTCCTAATCCATATTATAAAAAAGACCCACAAGTATTGAAAAATTATGAACATATGGCTCATTTTAGGAATATAGACCCTAACATCAATATACACAACCCTATGGCTAGACATGCTCCTGTGTTTTCACCTAATACACTAGCAATTTCACCAACTGACTCTAATACTAGTAATGACACAACCCAAACTCTTGGGGCCTCTCAAGAAGATTGTGGTTATGTCAGTCAATCATCTACAGCAAGTGTTAGAAGTATTGATTCTGGTGTCAACAGAATACCAAATGAATACCTTAGGAAATATTATGATAATAGATATGGACCTATAGTTAGAACATCGCCCATGATGTCAAAGTCGCAATTAAATTCTAATAATAATGCATCAAAGGATAAAAAGCAAATAGATGTTAGGCAGTTTTTACAAATGTGGAATGAAGGAGATGAGGAGCAAGATGAAAATGGCTCTAAAGAAATAATCATCCAGACAGGATCCAGTGAGAAATCCAATTTCAACAAGACAAATGATGGAATGAATAACCAAGAACAACTGTATGTGCTTGGACTAGTAAATGTTCCTAGCGAGGAACTTGCTAAATATGAACATATTCAGAAAGTGTCTAAGTTACCTGAGAATATTAAAGGATATAACAGTATTGAATTACTAAATCAATTTGAAGAAGTTATAGAATCATCAAATATTAGTAATTATAAGACACTACCCTCCAAAGACTATCATATGGCCATGAAATCTCACCAGAAACAAGTGACAGGAGTCATACCTCCTAGACCTGTTTCACCTTTAGATGTTGAAGCTAAAATAAGTCAGTCTGTCATTCACAAGGAAGTTGGCTGTAATTTTGAAATAAAACCCTGTAGTCCAAAAATGCTCAATGTGGAAGTAGCTGCACCTGTTCAAAATATTTTGGCTGAAAGATCTATTGAGAAAGTTGCAAATCCAGTAATTAATAAATCACCCATGTTAAATGGAATAAATGAAAACATTGACTGTAACATGATAAAAAGAAGTGATCATCGAATGAATATGAATGAAAATATAAGAATTCCCAGCTGCAAAATGATAAACAATACACAATTTTCAAATACTAATCCTATGGACCATATTAAAAGCAGCTACAGTTTACAGGACTTAGAAAGTAATTCAGGTTTATGTCTAGCATCACTGCCTCGCCTTGATAATGACATAGAATTAAACTTCCCTGAAGTAAACCAACAATTCATCAATGCAAATAAAGGAGATAGTAACATTATAACATCGTCTATTAGAGATTTGCCAACATTAGAAGTACTAGATCCACCAGAGAACCAAATCAAAGACAAATACGACCATTCTAATTTGTCTAAGACAGATATTGATGTTGCAAAATCTCCATGCATTGTTGAATCTGAAACAGAGTTTTCTAAATTGAGTAAATATCGTAAAACTAAAACGAATTTCTCAGAACTCAAAGAAATCCAATTACAACAAAATATTAATGCTATCAGAACGGATAGCGTTATTATAAAAAATCCTGAGAATATAAAGAATTACGAAGATAATACAGACAATTCACTTAATTGTTCTGATAAAATAGTCGCGGATGTTCCAATAAATTTAACTGCACAAGAAAACATTTCCATTGAAAATGCGTCTGAAACAACACATATTATTGAACCAGAAAAAGAAACTCTTCTGCCTTCTGACATTGCAATAGATTTCAGTTTAAATAAAACAGACGACCTAAATGATACTGAATCTCCAGAAACTAATATAGAATCACAAATAAATGGGACCGCACATGTAGAAGAAAATTGTTTAAACACATTTACAAGCAAAGATATTTCCTCTGATTCCATTAGTTTATTACCAACATTTACTGAGCAACATATTAATGACGATATAATAAAAGAAAGTAAAGAAGATGCAAATTGTAACTTAAACAAAAAAGAAGAAATTGATAACATATCCAATACAAATTTTAATGGAAACAATAAAACAAAAGAAGTAACTTCAACTAACAATGATGACCATAAACTTGTGTCTGATTTGGGTGAAAGGGAAGTAAATAGTGGTGCTACAGAACATGTCACAGACGAAATGAAATCACCGAAGCCGACCGAAACAGAAATGCCTAATAGTTTAAATTTGACTCTTCGAACTAGTGATCAAAACATAAAAGAAAGTCAGAACGTTGTAGTTACCATAGATACTTCTAATGATTTGTCAAAAGAAACAAATTATATGTTTCCAGAAATATATTCGGAATTAACAGAAAACCTTACACAAAATTCAAACAAAATTTATGACCCAAACACTCAAGATGCTACTAATAGTGAGATGACGAAAAATTGCGAGAATCTTGATGTTACTGACGAAGTGGATAGTCCAATACCCAATGAAACTGAGCTTTGTTTGGACAAATCAGAAAATTATAACCTAAATGGAATCTCGGCTACCGAAACTTATTCAGGAATCAGAGAAGAAATACCTAGCAGCTCACCATTACACCAAATTGACAACAAAGGATTTCAATTAAATGAAGATTTGTGTTATAATATTTCCGAAAATAACGAACAAACAAATGAGATGATTGGACGAGATGGTAAAATTGAAAATGAGAACCCATTAAGTTTACTGGAGGAACTTTCACCGTCAAATCACGAAAAGAAATTAATCGAAACGAATGAAGTGGCTCAGGATACCCCATGCTGTGTAAAACAACCAGATCTATATTACTGTGACCAGATTATTAACAGAGATATAAAAGAAAAACTTGATAAACCAATTCGACGAGCTTTTAGGTATTTTAACAAAGAATTGTATTCGCCCTGGATTCAAAAATTACTCATATATTCAGAGGGAAGTTGTAACAGTCTAACAACAGAAAAGGATATCGAATGCAGTGATGATTTTTTCTATGACTCGATGGAATCATTGAATACTTCAACAGATGCTGTAGTAACACCAGATGTCTGTGATTTAGATATGAGTGAGTCATCATTTAAAGACGACGAATTACCATTTGAATATAGCAAAACACCATTTGAAAATGACGGATCACCATTTGAAAATAAGAAAACCCCATTTGAAAACGACGAATCACCATTTGAAAATAGAAAAACAACATTTGAAGACAATGAACCAACAGTTGAAAACAACAAAGCACCATTTGAAGACGACGAATCACCATGTGAAAATAGAAAAAGACCATTAGAAAACGACGAATCACCATTTGAAAATTGCAAAGCACCATTTGAAGATGACGAACCACCATTTAACGATGACAAATCATCATTTAAAGATGTCGAACCAATATTTAAAGGTGACAAACAAGTATTTAAATATGTCGAACCAGAATTTGAAGATGTGACACCACCGATTAAAGATGGGAAAACACAAATTAAAGATGACGAATCACCATTTAAAGATGTCGAACCAGTATTTAAAGGTGACAAACAAGCATTTAAATATGTCGAACCAGAATTTGAAGATTCACCACCGATTAAAGATGGGAAAACACCAATTAAAGATGACGAATCAACATTTAAAGATGACGAACCAGTATTTGAAGGTGACAAACGAGCATTTAAATATGTCGAACCAGGAAATGAAGATGACAAACCACCGATTAAAGATGGAAAAACACGAATTAAAGATGACGAATCACCATTTAAAGATGTCGAACCAGTATTTAAAGGTGACAAACAAGCATTTAAATATGTCGAACCAGAATTTGAAGATTCACCACCGATTAAAGATGGGAAAACACCAATTAAAGATGACGAATCAACATTTAAAGATGACGAACCAGTATTTGAAGGTGACAAACAAGCATTTAAATATGTCGAACCAGAATTTGAAGATGACACACCACCAATTAAAGATGACAAACCACTAATTAAAGATGAGGAACCACCGTTAGGTGAATACAAATCACTATTTGAAAATGACAAACCAGCAGTTGAAGATGGCGTGTCAAAAACTGTAACAAAATATCAGGACAGTGATTGCGATATGGCAATGGAAACAGATAGTGCTAGTGTTGTAAATTTTCCTATTGTAGACGACTATGTCGAAGAATCAGTTACCAATCAGGTTGATTTGGATAGCAACGTCGACTGCGAGTCACAGGAAGAAGTTCAGGAAGAAAATGATCAGGTGTCTAATAAAGTTATTTTTGATGAGCTTAATGAAGAACTTAACAAAAAATATTTGAGTGAATCTTATATAGAACCCGATATTGGGGTAAATAGGCTTACAGATAAAAATATAAATGTTGGTTGCGAAGATCATTTTAATGATGTCTATGATAATCACTGTGAGGTTTTATCTGAAGTAGATACATCTAATGAAGAAGAAGTCGCATATGAATCGGTCCAATTTACACCAGATCAATATGACGAAGAACTTGAAAATAGAAGACAGAATACAACGTTGCTACCTACTGAGTCTGAGAATACACGATTTCCTGCTAACGAAGTCCCGCATAAAAAGTGTAACCGCCTTAAAAGATCCTTATCTGATTCTGCATTAAACATGTACAGTAATGAAGAACAATCAAAGCAGGAAAATGAAGATAATATACAGTTTGTTTGGCCGTTTAAACGTAGAAAAGTCAATAATGTAAACAATGAATTTCTGGCTCAAAATTTGTGCAATATAATGAATAATAATAGGCGGAATTCGGTTTCTTCTTTTTACACTGAAGAAAATGTTTCGTTTTGTATTTTAATAGATAATGGTTGCATTATAACTGAAGAAGAGAACGAGGAAACAGAGAAAATTTGTTTTACAGAACTTTCGGAAGATTGTTTACAAAATGACCAAAATACCGAGACTTTGGGAGAAGATATATCAAGTCCACAACCAGAACAGACTTGTGAATATTCAGATTCAGTAATAGTAGATTGCGGAGAAGAAAAGGCTTTAGAAGAGTCATGGGTGGAAGATGTGGGTTGTGTAGAAACCGTTATAGGCGATGATGTCGCCGAAGACATCGAAATTTGCGAACCTTCTTCCCCAAAAGATGTTACTTTGTCTGATAATGAGGAGTCTGGTGTTTTTACTAGCAGCGAGCACACCGATAAAGTGAAATCTATATATGGTGATAAAATGTGTAATGATGATGCTTTATTCGTTGAAACTCTGTATAATACTCCACAAATGGATGTTAATAAAACTTTGTATAGTAGAGAAACTCGTGTCTCTGAAGAGTACGATAGATATTATGATAACGATTCTCTAGAAAAAATGTTATCAGAACCTAATGAACCACCATTATCTCCTTATGTTCCACAATATATTGAAAAAATTTTACATTCTGCGAAGTTGAATCCTGAGGAAGCGCCTGAAAACAAAGAGAATGTAAATGAAGGATCTTTAGCTACATTGCAAAATAAGAGTAATTCTTTAGATATCGTTGTCGATATTAACGTTAATAAAAGTGAACGTGATAATAGACATTCGATAGAAGTTTTTGCAAAAACTCGAGAAAATGCTGTGCATTCTTGCGAATCTAGTGTCGATAATGTATTTACGTATAATCAGATAGATGAAGACGCAGTGTATACGTCCAGTTCACCTGAAGTATCGTCTACTACTTCGGAAGAGAAAAATTCCGGCATATTATTAAAAATAACCAACTATAAAGGTTCTAGAATTTCACAAATTAATGATATTAGTAGTGTTAATAAAAGGTCTAGTTGCAAGTTTACAGAAGAAAAGGAGTATTTACATTCTCACGCTAACTTCTCAAATCGACCACTTTTGACAAAAGCAGCTCAAAAATATATTCCTCCTTTGAAAGAATCCATCCGGGATCTTAAAGTCAAACTTTCTTTGCCTCAACATAGTCTTATGAAACTAAAGCAACTAAAAATATCCAAAGATGAACCAAAGCTAAATAAACAAAATGTTCCAACTCCTCGCATTCCTAAGAAACCAAAGCCTAAATTTGAAGACGTCCTTAAAAGTATAGACGAAATGCAATTTAAGATGCATAAAGAAAAGACCAAAAAACCAAAAAAATCTATTCCTAAAGTAGTTATTAAGAAAAATCAAAACGGTTCTCATTACGCGAGTACTTCAAATAAAGACGATTTCAATCCGGATTTGACAGGTAGAAAGTGGCAACCATGGGTGTTTATAGAGAAAAACCATTTCATTGACAAAATGGCAACTAGAAACAAAACAAAGGCTATTTATAGCCACAGGAAGAGGACTTATGTGTTAGCTGAAAAGTTTCAGAAGTATAAGTCTGCAAGCAGTGCTAAGTTTGTGATATCTCCGCCGATATCAGAAAACTCTTCTTCAGGACTTAAATACACGATAAGATTAAAACATAATTACTGAGTGTAGTTTGTGTTGAGTGTCGCAGTTCCTTGGGTCTATGTATAATAATTAACAGCCATATTGGCTTCAGTGTTAATGGATCCCACCCCAATTAAGGTCTCGTGTTATCATTCCTACGATTCCATTTTAGTTTTTTTAGTAGTTACCCATGTTAGTTTATTTTATAGTATATATAACGAAGCCAAATTCAATACTAAGTGTGATATGAAAAGAAAAGAATTGTTATTGTTTGATAGTGCAATTTGATCTGATCTGTAATTTGTTAGAGTTTCAAATTTTATTATAATCGTTTTTACCTGCTGTGCCTGTCATTCCATTTTTATTAGTGTTATTGATTAGTAGTATTTATTTTTTAGGATTGCACCTTCAGATTTTAGTTATTTATTTAGCCATAATTTATGAGTATTATCTCCGTTAAATATTTGATTCCAAATAATACTGATATTTCTAATAAGTATATGTTTATGTTTGAATAATATTTAGGTGAGTTTTCTGTAAGTTGATATATTCGTATTGGCGGCGGAGTCCATGCTTGACTAAGTAAATGTTTTGTAAATATAGTTGATGTGTGAAGTTGTGTGTGCAATCAAGGTCACCTAACATAAAAATGTACTTATACCTAGTCTATGATAATAAATTGGTTAAATAGTAAATACATAGTCCGATATACATAGATATTCATATTTTTGTGTGCCTATTTAAAGAATTTATTTGTAATCTATCGATTAATCGATCCACTCCATTTGATGAAACATGTCGTAAACCTCTTTCTGTCTTCCGTCGCCAAAGTTGAGAGCGTCGCTGTAATGTATAATGTGGTGCTTCAATCTGAAACCGAGTATACACCATGTGTACACGGCTACATTATCGTTATATCGGCCGTGATGATCGTAGCTTGCGAATATCCTGATTATAATTATACAAATGTCCATAGAGCGCATAATGCGTGTACTAGCGGCCGATATAAAGGTAATGGACGAATTTTGATATTTATGTACCTTGGCTATGACATAATCACTGTGTGGTTTTGACAAGATGTTATAATTAGTGTTAGTATGATCAGTGCCTTCGGTACTGTCAAGATTGCTCACGTATAGTAAATTTTAAGCACATGTGTAATCATGTCCGATAGATATTGATTTGACTGCAACATGTATCTATGTTACTGTGTAGGCGAAGTACAAAATTTGCACACTTTAATTGTTAATACCTTATAATGTAGCATGTATTTTGTAAGAGTTTGTTCGTTCAATATCATTCAATAATTTTGTTTGTAATGATGTTGCAGTGAAACAACATAGTGTAGGTAGGTAATAAAATTAAAGCGTGAAATAACCAAAGCCAATACTCAGAAATAATAGATGTTGGGAAAGTGTGTACGTGCGTAGGTACGTAGGTACCTACTGAATTTATACCTACACACCGAAATAGCTGCCGGATGCGATCCGTCTCATATTGGAGAAGTAGATGTATCATAATAACCAATGTAAAAAATATCAATATAATATATACAAATTGCACCCAGAATATTTATTGGGCATATTTTCATATACGTACCTAGGTTGCGAAGTTTGACTAGATTTCATTATTCCAATACAGGTACATGTTTTACTAAGTGGAAAGCAGCGTTTGGATACGCCTGCAGTGCCTTTTACATAGTGCTGATAGTATACAAGCAGTAGAGCAGTACCTACGAGTACCTATGTCTTAGGACAATTTTATTACTACATACGTTTTGGCCATTTTAAATATTTTGGAAATATCTGTTGATCTCATAAAGGCACTCACCGATTCATGTTTTGCCTTATCGTGCCTATAAATATATTTTATTATTAAAATACACTATTTTGATATGATGTACAGGGTGTTCAATAAATATACCAAATATATGTGCTTTTAAGTCCTGCATACATGTATTTGCAAAGTGTTGCCTTCGTAGATAAAATATTTTAGAAATACATCATAGTGTTATTGTGTAACAAGTAATTGAAATAATATTTTAAACGTGTTGAAATTCCGTATAAGATGGTCGGTTATACAGTTTAATTTATTTATAGATCATAATATATTGTATGAGAAATGGTAGTTTTAAGTATTTAGACGTAAGTTTTATGGATAATAAATGTACAAAGGTAAAGTTAAGAGATGCGTTGATTTGTGCCCTCGAGTTATTTGGGCCTACAAAACCTCAGTTGAGTTGAGGATATTTACCAAAATGATACTTTGCTGATACACGTGCATATAATGATGGGACGTGGCGCGCTGCCTGCACGGGCCTGCTAGCAGCGGGCGCGCGGGGGTGGCGCGCTGTCTCGCAGACTGATGACTGATTACTTGACGTTCACTTAACAATCCTATCATACAATTTATTTCATCGTAGCTTTCGATACCTTGTATGTTTGTTATGCACTATTGAGTGGATTGTTGTTTTTTTTTCCTGCACTTGTTGGCCATTGTTATGACTAAGTTAATTAATGGTATATTCTATTGTGGTTAAATTATTTAATTAAGGGTTATGGATTAGTTATTATTGATGATTTAATATATAGATATTTGTTTGTCGTTTAAATGTTAATGCATATCTTCTTATGCCAGTAACGCACGTGATAATGTATGGTGATAGACGTAATATTGGACACACTTGCTCTAAAGCTGAGTGATTTATAAACTCAAGTGTGACACATTATACCGTTAATTAATGGGATGTTATTATGTATTACGTTTTCGAGTGGTACCTAGTTTTGAAATTGTTCTGTAATTGACCAAAATAAATGTGTTCGCAGTAAATATACGTTTATTACTTATCAACTTTAATTGATTATTAAACAGGTATATTAACTTTCACAGCTTCTTGCCGTATGGCGCTGATCAGCTCTTGGTTCACCAGAAATACGAAGCGAAGACCGGCAATCTGGGTACAAAAAAAAATACAATTTAACTATTGATCCAATAATTTGGCAATCAACTTAATGCTCTTATTAGTAGTGCAGTATTTTCAATAAATATTTAACCTAAATTATGTTATTGTGCAGCACTGCACTAAGCTGGATTGAGATTAAAAAATTGCCGTGAAAAGTGAACTGTGCCCTCAAAACATTCATTATGCCAAAATTGCCATAATGGTGACGTTCAAAATCATAGGTTGTACAACAATGGCATGATATAATCAGCAAGACTAATGACACGCAAAACATTACGAGCATGTACCTCGATGACGGTGTTGTGGTTGAGCTTCACTTTGTTGCCTGGCAGCACCGGCCGCCCGTCCACGAATATGGGCCGTTTGCCCTCCGACGACATGAAGAAGTCCCCACTGTTCCGCAGCCGAATGGTGGCCTGCTTCCGAGACACCTTCGCCGCCGGTCCTTCCAAAGTTAGATCCACATCGATATTGTTGTCCCGCGTACTACGGCCAACTGCGATCTAGTAAACAAAAACATTAATTAAAATCTTCGTAACATGCGAGTGTTATTGGATTTTATACTTTTAAATTATGTGTTTTGACGTAGAACATAATCTGCATACAATGCCAGTAAATCTAATCGCATTTTTAATTAACTTTTCATGTAAGGTGTACCTAAATATTAATTTGATGATAATTATTATCATACTTGGTTTGTTAAACGTCTGATATTGTAAAAACCTATGAAATTAATTTTATACGATTATAGGTACATCACACGTCGCCACTGCGCAGTATATCTGCTGAGCTAATTATTACCGCGGACCGTGAATGCAGTTACTAATTGATATGGTGGATTAAAACTGAATGATTATTTTCAATCTGGCTTTGTTGAACAAGCCACAGGTTTAAGGGCATGGCTAAAAACCACCTCCAGGTCGCATAGCGTAGGTACCTACCTAGCGTGGGTAGGTGACTACCAATAAAAATTCACGTTTTCCCCATAAACTTATAAACTGTTCACATAGTTTAACCACGTGTCGTAATAATGTGCAACGATATCCTTCTTCGCATGTTCGTAACAGAAGCCATCAAAATACTGAAACCACTCAACAAGTTTTGCGTAAAATCGACGTTTATTAAACACGCACGCTACCAATTAAAACACAATCGAAATCGGAAACCAATTAACGAATGCACTATGAAATAAATGGTTTTGATAATAGCCATTAAAAATAATACCTGCATAAAATAATGTATAATAATGACGGACAACCGGCAGCACACAAATTAATACATCGAAGTTACACGTTTTATCTACATTTCGTGACTATGAAACTATTAGATATCTTTACAGTAATAAATAAAGAAAAGTCTTCAATAGGGGCATTGATATTTTCATATTTTTAAATAAATTATGGTAAGAATCTAATAAGATTATTTTTGAAATTTTTAAAGCATAGTCGAACAGAGAAGGTGTGGACGTGGTCGATTTAATTTTTTTTGTGCGACTGTACTGTTTAATGATTGTGTTCATTAGTATTGTGTTATTAACAAAGCAGATAGAGTTGTTGACATACTAATTGAACAGATAAGGTTATCAAGTAACTAGTTATTCGTAAAGCTAGCTGATTATGTGCAAGTACCGCGCTGCGTTCGTTACTATTTGTGTGACTTCCATTTTTCCTTTTACTCGATAGTAGTGCAGAATTATTTAAAAGTGCAAAAAGCTGACAACTAAATGGTTCTACATTTGTAATTTTTTGGTAAAAACAAAATCGTAAGTGGTACGGGTTATTATTTTTCTTTCTGCGTGTTACAAGTGTATTTCTTAGGTATCATGGTAACATTCAGTTAATTAATATAATCCAGTATAGGGTGGTTTTCAACGTAAATAACCTATTACTTCATTTTTACATCACACGTCATCAGGTCTGAGTAACTCCTCAAGTCAACTGACTCCTCACACGGATAAGTTATTCAATTATTTAACATGCGATTTCTTTTTTATTCATATTCTTAAATCCTATCCTGTTTTGATGCCTACTACATAATGTAATTTTATACCTATCATTGAGTTTTATGAGTATTCATGATCGGTTCGCATCCTCCGGAAAAATCAATAATAAAACAGAATTTGAAACTAGGAAATTGCACTGCAAAAATTTTAGCAGGGACTTTTAACCCTTACATTCAACCCGTCATTTAATACATTTATTGTTAGGAGGCTAAGCGAAATCTGCAATAGGTAGCCCATTGACAGAAGCGGCAGTGCAGTGACATAGATGTGCACTTTCATTATCTGTGGCACCGTTACATTCGAACATGGTAAGACTATTGTACCTACTTAAAGTGAATGGACCTATAAAACCTATCTATAATACATAGAGTATAATAGGACACATATTAGAGATGTATGATCAGTAGTGCACTAAAACAGGCTGATGAGGATAAAAATGATAATGAATGTTAAGGCTACAATATTTAGTCGAGGCCATCGTGCGGAGCGCGTGAGGAAACTATCCTCCACACGCCCAACCGCCGCAGTAGGCGACAATCCAGGCATCGAAGATCCATCGACAATCTTCGGACACCATAGGGGCGGGTCCGCAGACTGCAAGCATGGATAACTCGCCGCCCGACCAGAACCAGACCCGAGCGTACGGCTCGTAGCGTTCCGCGCGCTCCTCAAAGAGCTTATAGACCACCACAGTCGGAGCCCTACAGGGGCTAAGTTCAGCAAGGGTAGCAGGGCAAGCGCAATATGGTGCCTCGGCCTAAAGCAGGAGAAGGAACAAGGTCTTTTTAGTCACTAAGAGTATGTCACTCCATCTCGCCTCACATTGGATAAGAGAAGTCATTTGAAGATTTCCCCAACAAAACAAGGCTACAAAAATATATACTTAGTAATATAATACCCGGGTTTTCATTAAATCGAAACGAATTAATTAGGCATTAGAAATCTAATTTTCAAAGCTGAAATGCTGATTGTTTAATGAGAAAATATGTCCCTACAGTTCACTACATTGAATGATTGACATTTTACTGGCGCATTTGTGCTGGAATGCAGAATCTTATGAGGTGCATATTCAATAGATTTTATGATCACCAGGCAACGCAGCAACTCTCAAATATAGAATTAAAAAGCAAGATGGCGTGACAAATTCTGTCATGGCTTTATAACTGCGAATGGGCGGGAAAGTCATTACAAGTAATGAGCTTCGTGGTTAACCATGTTATTTCTTAATCTGTTTAGTGTTAACATTGTGTTTTTATTTTCTTTAAAATAATTCTAAGATATAGTTTGATTATTTATTTATAGCCGTAAATAAACCACTTCCTAAATATTTAAACGCTGAATTAAAAAATATTGGTGGCAAGTTTTACATTACTAAATTCTTGTTTTTATTTTATTAGTTAGATGAAGAAAATACTAAATCAAAATTACTAAAAAATATACCTAAAACAATCAGAATAAAGAAATAATTTAAATAAGTAACGGTAGAAGGAACAGTATTGTTTATTGGAAACGTCACCGTAGATGGGTGCCCAAGCCCGCATCCGCCACTTCGTAAACTACTACGTATGTAGGTACCTATAGGTTAATCAACTGTTGCTATTTTTGGCATATTCCATGCATAAACTAAATAAATAAATGTTTTTAAAGTGGTATTTTTGATGTCGTTTGCGTTGTAGGTAAATAGAATGGCAGTTTCGAGAGTTCCAAAATTATTTTACGTGCTTCTTATTAAGCACGTAAAATAATTTAATATTTATTACTAATGTACTAATAGTTATTAGTACATTAGTAATAATTTCTCATATAAGGCTGTAGGTACTATGTCCTGCAAATACGCAAATCTATGGGGTCCATAAAAACATTTACGAAAGTCATTGTGAGTAAGTCAGAGACACGGAAGTCTACAATTGGGTCAAACTAAAAATGTCGCATCACATCTGACGGTTTTAAAAAGTTTGAAGGTCTCGCTCTAAATAAAATGTTAAACTAAAATACAGACAACCCTGGTTATTTATAGTAAAATTTGGAATAATCCTATTCATAGTAAGTATGCAATTTTTGATCTTTTTACAACTTTTTCTTTGCTATTCCTTTTCATAACGAGTACCAAAAAGTCTGATATTTCAGCGAGTTTTATATTTAATATTTTTTTAAGATGACAACACGATACCTCTTGCAATAATTATTAATAAATATTGCAAATACCGCGAATGGATTGATGATGAACCCATTTCGAATATCGAAAACGCTATCCAAATAAGCAACCAAATATATCTAAATATTTCTACAAAGGTAACGAACTCCAAACACGTAAGCGCGTTAGTCTTATTCAAGTTATTATAAATTAGCAATATCGTGCTTTTGCAGCATTAAGTTTACTCGTTCGCAAATCAAAGTATTGAATCTTTTACTAAAATATGTTCGCTTATCATTGGAGTGCAACATTCTTATTCGCATTAAACTTCGATGGGTGGTCACGGGATATTAGGAAGATTTCGCAGCACAGAAACAGACCTTTGCACTGCAGGAAGACATTCATACAATTTTTTTCTGACAGTGGTGTCTTGGTCACATACAGACCACACCAACACGAAAGAAGAATTTGTAGATTACACAGAATTGTTTCCCAATATTTGTATCGCCCTCTATTCTTCTCAAGATCAGGCAACAGCGCAACATTCTCAGATAAACCTAACATTTGAAACGGCAATCTCTCATCCTCCTGCCCAGTGTTGAGATAGCAGAAGCAAAGCTTCAATTTTTATTTGATAGGGAAACTAGCTTACATTATGATGATGTTACGCAATTGGCGCCGACCTTAGATATCCGCAACACCAAAAGAAATACGTGTGCGTTGCCGGCCTTTCAGGGATTAGGATTTTGTAGGTTTAGGTTTTGGGGATGGATCGGTGCAGGAAAAGGATTGGATCTCTAGCAACCTCACTCACACGCCGAAACACAACGCCGTGTTTTTTTGCGCGAGTTTTCTGTGTAACCATGGTTTCACTCAGGTAGAACCGACCCTTTCGTGACGAAGTTTGGCTCTCCCACACTTGACTCCCTGGATCGTACCTTGTTTTCAACTATAAATATATGTAATACCTTTAAAGACATTTTTGAATACCTATTATTAAATATTAGAAAACGGTTCCAACTTCATATAAGTAATTAGTTAAAAAAATATTTGGTTTAGACACAATCCCAGGTTGATCTCTTGTTGTTTATCTTATCGATTTCTAATAAACTACAGTTTAGCATGTTCATTCTGAAACATTTTATTTAGAACCAATAGCCATAATCGATATTAGGATAAAATATTGTGACTCAAAATAAGTAACATCATTACAGTATTTCAGAAGTAAAAGAAAAACGGCACGACACTGTTTCTATGATGGACAGTCAAGAGATGGAATGAATTACAAAGAAATGTTGTAGGAGTTAAAAATATGCATCAGTAATGTTGTAGTAATGTAGATGTTGAAATGTAGTTATGGGCCAGAG